AAACATAATGTACCCTGTGCCACAAACAATACATGCGGAGAGTCTCCGTACTTATGTGCGTAGGAGTTGGGCATAGGCCAAACAACGGTAGTTTTTTTCCCACACATGCACGATTATCATGTATTGACCTATATATTGCCCTCAAATAGTGTCCAGACTTATTAACGCTCTGTTAACTGCTATCTTCCTATTATGCAGGTGACAAATTGGCCTTGTTGCAGAATATAATCCGACCACTGTGAAAAATATAGGCCTCAAAATGCGATGTACGATAAATTTGGTTGCAGTAAATAACCTGCTAAACTGTTATTGAAAATGTGACTCATTGCATTTTTAAAACGGTCTCAGAAGCGTTTTATAGAATTTAAATGCCAACAAAAAACTCGTAAATTTCGATCCCGTGTTTCACATTTTATCTGATTGAATGGTTGACATTGTTGCTGGATAAACTACATTCGTATTATTTAACGTCTGCAGTTTATTGGTTACCTATAGTTTGTAGATGCGTTTTAAAATTCAATCATTCACAGCACAATAATGAATGTTAAATGCACTTTGCATTGCATTGATTTGCTTTCTTTGTAAAATATTCGTGCTTTCTCGAGCACTAGTTCTTTGTGCTTTTCGCTTTCACTTTATGGAATGCGAGTTTGCCGTCGCACGGACTACATGATATAGGTGTCCCCAGAAACTGTGCAAGCAGGTATCCTGTAATTTCTCAAAAACTATTTAACATGAGTATTTCATATTGATGGGGCATATTAATTATACTCCTGTATAATCAGTGAAATTACCATGGAAATCCGTTCATGCAAACCAGAGATCTAACAGATTGTAAAAGGCTATGTTTTTTCACCCATTCCAATGGGATTTACACAGTTAGTGATATCAGTGCATCAGATTGTCATGGGCCTTTTCACTCTGATGTAAATTAAGTTAACTGTGTAAATCACTTCCCATTGGAATGGGTGAAAAACCCATAGCCTTTTAAAATCTGTTAGATCTCTGGTTTGCATGAACGGATTTCCATGGCATTTTACTGAATATACTACACAAGGGTATAATTAATATGCTCCATCAAGATGAAATACTCGTGTTAAGTAGTTTTTGAGAAATTAAAGGATATCTGATTGCACAACTTATTTTTTTTTGGGGGGGGGACACCCTGTATTAGTTGTTCCTTACATTAAAAGATACAAATTTGCTTGAAAGTATACTTGAAAAAGGAAGAATCAACTTTACTTTGAGGAAAACATGGAAATTCTCTCGAACAATATGATGTGAAAACGACATACCAATTCATCTGTCATCCATGCATGAGGAAGTTCATTAGTCAACGGTGCTGTACTTTCTATTAATGATGTGATGTTGCGTTTAAATTGGTAAACGTTTAGCAAATAGTTTTAAGAACCATTTAAACGTTTAACCGTTTAGCAAGGCTAACGCCTGCCCATTATGTCTGCAGACCGACGTTAATGACATGATAAATCAACAGTGATTGACATGATAAATAGACGGCAGCCATTGAAAACGTACAAACTTAACTATACGTTTACCTCGAATGTAATCAAGCACCGCGGGGCTTCTAAAGTCGTGTAAATTAAAGGTTTGAAAACATCGTTAATTTGTTTGTGCTCTGTATGTTTAACTCAAAGGAAGATCGCGTGAACGTCGGTCCCTTTCTATAATTCGGGTTTCGTCTAAACGTTTGGGGAAATTTTTTAATGGATGTAGCGGGGTTTTTTTTCGTTTAACGTTTAAAGGAAAAAGCAAACGTGTGATGTTATTTCAGGCAGAAAACTCAATGCTACATCCATTTCAGCACACACACACAAATAGCCAGAATTTGGGATATTTTCCTGTCGTTATTTTGTTGGGGGGGGATTCGTTGTTGTGTCAGTACATGGCAGTAGGCCAGTGAGTTTTCTCACAAAGTGTTTTAAGTGTGTTTTAAGTGTTTAAAAAAAGTGCACTTTTCAATAAGATTGACCAAAAAGGGATGTCCAGTTATTTTCATATACATTTAAGAGGAGTAGAAAGTTGCACAAAATATTATGTCCTTAAGTAAAATTCATGTCATGGCCCTTTAAACGTGTAAAGTCACATCCTTACTTTCTGTAGCCGCGAACATTGCCCTGAAGGTGAATTTGAATGTTAGTGGATGTATTGTTGAACCTGTATTATTGAAAAAAAAATGTCACGATTGTAGATCTTGTCCTGCTTGAATGAATATTTGATCATATTAATTTTGATCATGGAAAAACATATCTGCGATGATCAAAGATGATCAGTACGTCTTCTGTTATTAATTTCGAACTATTGTCTTATGTTGGTCATATAATATATCCTTACACCGCTCTTTAGATAGTCCCCATTCGTTTCAAATGGTTGAAGTAACATCAGCACCGATGTTAGGCGCGATAAGCCATGGGCGCACGCCTTTACGCACATTTGGTATTGGTGCATACACCTCACCGTTATGTCAAAGCTGGATGCACTTTTGCTATAGTTCATGGCAGAATTCCCGTCCAAAATAATCCATGCATAATAAGGCAACATTAATGCGCAGATGGCACCACGTAAGACTGATATCAAACGGATGCCGATTTTGATTGATATAGCTTTGATGTTGCGTTTTCATTATTACAGCAGCGGGTGAGTAGGCCCATTATAAGCCGTTGTAGTACAAGGGGGACTTTCCTTTAGCAGAATTCATTTCCGGGTGACCTAAATGACGCGCATTCAGTTGGCTGACTATAGTAACAGACTGGTCCATTAATGGCGCTTGGACCAATCGCTGCCGTAGTGAATGTCCGACATGCGAATACGTACGTGGGAAAGACAATGCCTTGTCTTCGAGGGGTATGTAAAGCACGACTGTGTGATCTTCCCGTCGATTTCGGATAAACGAATGGTCATAAGTTGTTCCTAGCATCTTTTTAGCTAGTTTGGCCAAAACAGATTCAAAACAGGGCCCGCCCACTGGGCACGTGCGGACAACAACGCATTGGCCTCCTCAATACCTAACTTCATGTTCCAGCCGCGCGCGTCATACGCAAATGCACATATAGTCGGACATATATTTTGTGACGCATGTCGGGCATTCTAAATTACAGCTGTGATTGGTCAAAACATCAGTGGGCGGGGCTTAATGGATTGGTAAATTGGCCCTCCTTATAAACTCACTAAAGTTCCTTGAATTCCATAACAAGTTGATCAGGTATAATGTGGGTTGCAACTTGCAATGGCGCTATCCGGTTCGTTAGTGACTTCGTTTTACACGCGCGTGCACCACTGATTACTAGCGCCCATTGGATAAACACTCAAGTTGCGTTAAATTCCGGTTCCAATGGTTCCAATGCTACTTAATGTAAAGTGGGCGTGGTTTAAACTGAAGTGACGTCACACTAACGAACCGGATTACCCATGCTGTACCAATTTAATCTATAGCCATTTGACGATCGTCCACTGACAGGGCGGCGTAAACTTGTAATAAAGGGAAGAGACCGTACCTACAAGAACAGCATCATTTGAATAATGAATGGGAATACAACCAGCATAATCTGATGTGAAAGTTCGCAGGTTCTATTTTGGCGAGTATATCCCATATCTGTAGAATAACGATTTGGCGGGAGAGTTGTCAACAACCCTAACCGAATCAATAACTGTAAGGGCAGGCTTTCCTGGAAACTGTCCAGGGCTGTATGCTGATGATTGGTGCCTGCAACACACGGGCATCCGCTAATCACTCACTCACCACACCAGCCATTGCTAAAACGCCTGTACAGGTTGATGTCCATAATATCAGCCATTTCTACCTTAAGTTGGGCTGTTAGTAAAGGCGAATACGTTTTGCATCCAGGTAAACTCGTATCTGTGGTTCATTATATTTCTTGTATCAAAATTTTTGCAGTTGTTTAAGAACACCACTCAAAATGCAAAGAATTAGAATGTTCATTTCTTCAAAATGACAGCAAGCCAGACGGATTAATTTCATAGGGTGTTTAAAAGCAGTACCATCTTGAATCCAATCAAGTTTTGTCGGTAGGATACTTTGGGATAAATGCAAATGATCGTATGTGCCTTTAAAAGCATCAGTGCAGTATAGAATAGGTTGTGAAGTGTTATCTTTACAAATATCGTGTGAATGTAAGTTTTGAGATTTTACTGAAATCTATTTTGTTACAAAAAATGCACTAAATGACTGAGTTACTGACTGACCGAGTTACTGATTATAATAATCTACATCATAATGACCGTGTACAATGTTCACAGTTGATGTTAGCGCAGGAATTGTGCATTTTCTAGCTTAAAGGGCCGTGAAATGAATTTTTTATCAGGAACATAGTTTGTACAACTTTCTACTCCTCTTAAATGTATATATAAACAAACTATTTGACATCCCTTTTTGGTTAATCTTATCGAAAAGTGCACTTCTTTAACATTTAATATTGTCCATGCTTTTCCGGACAACTGAGGGCGCTGTTGTTGTGATGTCAATTCAGGAAGACACTGCTCAGTTTGGGTGTTTTCTGTTCAAATGGTGAACCCAAACATTTGCTTATTGAAAAATCTGTGAGAAAAGTTGCTCACTGGCTTTCTGCCATGTACTGACACAACAGCGAATCATCACATCAACTTCTTGCAACATTTGATGCTAAAATAAATGTAACATTGAGGTTACTGGCTGAAATGACGTCATACTTTAGCTCATGAATATGGAAATTCGCATTAGCATAAAAACCAAAATGCCACCAAACTACCCTTGGAAATGGCAAAACAAAAATTGAACATAAGGTTAAATGAGACAAAAAGGTGCATTTTCAAGGATTACAATTTAAAAAAAAATAATTACATTGCATAGGTGCTTTAACTTATGGTCTAGCTCGACTGGCAAGCCTAGGGTTTTTATTTTTATTTTATTGAAATCTGTACTTCATTAAAAAAAATTGTTCCGAGAGGATTTTAATCTAATACACTGTTTTCTCCATTGACTTTAGAATTATCCACGAAGAGGGATTCAGTGACGAAGATGCAAAGGTTTACCGACCTGTTGTATTTAGCAACACCCTGCAGTCCATGGTGTCTATACTCAGAGCCATGGAGAAGTTGGAGATATCCTACGAAGACCCAAGTAGAGAGGTGAGTTATAGAATTCCAACACAGTGCAGCAATGGGACACCGTAGTTTTGACTGTGTCAATGCAGTGGCTGGTTTTTTAATTGACCGTATGTGTAGCAGCGATCTTAGAGGGGATCTTTTGTTATTTTAATTCAGTAACAATGAATCCACAAAAGGTACACTCATGCATATTCTAGCAAAACAAAGACAGTGCCCTCCAAGATGGCTGCCACGCATGAGGTATATAGCTAGCACAAGTCCGCCAGCAAGGTTGTTTATCTTCTGCAGGCTAGCAGAGACATTTACTTTAATACGCATGCGATAAACATATCACGTGAGTGACTTTCCTTTCCTAAATAGTGTTAAATAGAGTCCTGTACTGATCGATGAAGTTATTTCACCTTTTTAATCCTGATTTATAGCTCTGCAAATGTTTATTTTTGTTAACTGAAAGTTAAGTCTGAGAACCATTTCGTTACAAACTGATGCATGCGAATAAAAGTCAATGACTATTGGTTGCAGACAAAAATTGCAGTTCGCTACCGTAACTGTATTTTCACGTATGCCAGCGGTGCTTTTGGATTGTGCATAATAGGGATTAGGTCTAAAATACAGTATCCGTCATCCGTAATTCGTATAACAAAAACAACAACGATTATATAGCTAAACCATTAGTGACGGGGGACAGGCCTCCTATCCCCATTTTCAACCTTTTTGTCAGAGGACAGAACATGCACCCCACGAAATTGCAATGTAAAAATGATTCAATGTTTGGCCATTTAATTACTGCATATATACAAAATCCATGGCAAGATACTTTTTTTTGTTTCACAATAACGCTGTGTGGCAGAGTTGATTTCAAATCAGATTTGTACCATTATATCAGGGTCCGAAATTAGCGGTAGCCCGCTAGCCAAATGCTAGTCAAAACAGCGGCGGGCTAGTCAAACTATTCCTTAACTAGCCCGGCTGGCGAGTGAAACATTATTGGGACACGGTAAAGATGAACGTACAGGAAGAAATAAATCATTAAATTCAGAAAGAAAACCCCATCAATTTTATCAACTGTTTTAAAGGGTTAAATTGTTAGATCTGTTAATCAACACACTGACAAAATTGCCTCCTGAGAATTTAGCCTGAAAATACGCCATTTTGTATTTGAGATAAGAAAAAAAACCTGAATTTGTACCAATGCATTTTATGTTTAGTTCAGTGTAATATACTAATATATTGACCATGGTACATATTTTGTTTACAAATTGGACGTTGTGGTCACTGGTCAAGTGTTGCCAACTTTCAGCAAACTGTTCACTTCTACACTGCATGTGTACAATGTATATCTTGAAATATGATTGGTGGAAAGGTGGCGACATAACTATTTAACGTGGGCAAAATAACATGCACGAGATGCTTAACTGTTTTGGTTGCCTGTCGGCTGCCCCGTTGGTATGACGTCAAATGTAACATAGTCTATAGAGTACAAGAACACACTTCGCTTCTACGGTCCCAGTCTTTGGACTAGCATTGACCAATCAATTAAGTCCAAAACCTCCGTGGGCTCTTTTAAGAACTCTTTCGAAGAGTATCTTATTTCCCAATATGTAGCATAGTTTGGTTGTTTCCTTTGGTTTAATCTCCAGTGTTGCCACCTCTCGTGCAGTTTAACAGTTTTTTCAGTCATGTTTCTTAATTCATTTCTGGTCAGATCATTTTGTCCTCTTGTTTATGTTTGTCTTTGACTTAATTAATGAACTACTTGATTATTTAATGTCTTTGTTTTCTCTTCTAAAGGCACTCCGCAGTGAGCCTTGGCTTATTAGGATTGTGCCTCCACAATATTGCATTTTGCTTTCTGTTATGTTATTGTTTCAGTATGGAAATACAAGCATGGAATTTGGAACACAGTCTGATTATGTCGTGAGAATGACATTTGGCTATAGGGCCATCGCATATTTGTCCTTCGAAAAAATATAGGTAGAGTAACAAGCAATCTTCAATTTTTTTTCAAAATGGCTGCCATTGCTTGTTATTCTACCTATATTTTTTTCAAAGGGCCAATCTGCGGTGGCCCTATTGCCAAATATCTTTCACATGACATACTCTGACCGTGTGTCAAAAGTCATGCTTATATCGTCAAATGCAAAGGCACAATTACCCCAAATATTATTCTTATCTGTGCCCCACTACGATAGCTTCGGCATATTCGCCTCATGTGGATATCGGCTTCCACTGACAAAGCTTATTTGTTTTAGTGTTCATTTTATATTGGGTACGTGAATTAATTACATTGCAGAAGGGGGCGGTGAAAGTTAAAAACGATACTGTTAGGCTGTTGAATATTCATGCGTGATTTTTATGCTCCTTATGATGAAATGTTTCCGTATGCCCCTCATTAACCTTTATTAACCTTTTTTATTTTATTTCCCGTACCTTTAATGAACATGAAAATCAAAGCACATTGAGTCATGTAATTATATATTATCGCGCTATGATCGTGCCGATTATAAATTGAGAAAAACAACAATAAAACATCTGTAATGTTAGTAGGCTCTTTCTAATAACAAAAAAAGGAGATTTTTTTTTCACAAATATGAAATGGCGAGATTAATTGACTTATTTCTGCTGAGTAACGTTTAGCTTGGCACTGACAAAATGGAATGACCAAAGCTAAAGGGAAAAAAAGGAGAAAAACAAACCCAGGATGTTTTTTAGTACACAACGCCATCTGCATTTGAGTTGAATATGCCGACATGGGACGAACGGTGCAACTTTGAAATCACATAATTAATAATAAACCCAATGATGTTGCCGGGAACCAAATTAAATGATACGACAGTTAATGTCACCGTTTAAACGCTTACAAAGGCTTGAAGGTCGCAGCGGTGAATGTGCCTTTTCAGCAACCATTATATGCGTTCTTTACATTGCGTTATAATGGACTATGATATTAATTAAATGGAGCATCATTTGCTTCAATTAGCTGTGTCTGTACATTTCTTGAACGGAGACTACATTTTGTACATTCCCACACCATTAGGCAAAACAAGGGTGGACAGGGAAACCACAGAACAAAAGTTTATTCATAACTGACAAAACTGCATTCAACTAGGCCTTAAAATGGATCGTGGCTTTTCGTCACACTGCACCATTGATAATTGATTTAACACCACCCTTTTGTTTCTACTGTACATGTACCCATATTATGATGACCCTCTTCATTGCGTCTGATGACGTAGTCGTAGCTACGAAAGCTTTCACTCTAGTTAGTCATTTAAAGTGCTAATATACCTTACTTTTTCCGGTTTGTAAATAGTGTACGGTTTGCGATTCATGCTTAGCTCATAAATCGCTAAGCAGCATGTTCTGCTTATTGGAAACTACAAGCCCCGATAGTTATCAACCATTATCCCCCTTTGTTTTCACCTCGATGTACACGCAGGACGATTGTAAGATGGTGCTTGACATTGTCAGTAAGATGCTAGATTCGGAGCCTTACTCCAGCCCTCTGAGAGGCGCCTTATCGAGACTCTGGTCTGACATGGGGATCCAGGAGTGCTTTAACAGATCCCGAGAGTATCAACTTAACGATTCAGCTAAATAGTAAGTTCCGTTTCCCTTAAACCGTGGTTAGTTGTGTTACGTGTCTTTGGTATAACTTCATCGTTTATCGCATGCATAGATATATGTAGATTGAGATGGTTCATGCGCAGCCAACAGGTTACAAGATTTGTAAGATTGCATTGTGAGATCTATGGATGAATGTTTTGAAGGCAGAGCACAAGCAGCACATCTTGGGGACTAGCGGGACGTTTAATATTAAAATATTTATACGCTTGGTAATTACCATCTTGTCTTGTAGTGTCAACCTGTACTTTGTTGAGTGGGTGCGGGCAAGACTGTGCGTGACTTGGCAGCAACTTGAACCGGCATCCTATAGACCTATATACAGATATCTTTTTAGAATACACATTAGCCCCCATATGTGTCTTCTCGAGTATGACAAGACTATACAGTGATCACATACTGTATTAAGAACAAAATACCTAACAATGCGTAGAGCTCTTGAACGGTGTCGTTTAGTTCGCAATCTATTGACATATTTGTCAAACTCAAATGTTGTCGACAAAACAAAGATTGCCTCTGTAATGGCTACGGAAGTAGTTCATCTTTAAATCAAAACCTGCACACTCTAAAAAGTCCCTAGTCATAATGACGCGGAAACCGGTTTCTAGTTGGCCTCATATTTTTCAGGGTCAAAATTGACATTTTTCTTAGTCAGATTACACTTTTGCCAAGGTTTTTCGGGCCAAAATGACTTGGACAATGATCCAAAGAAGTGCCATTTTGACCCGCAAATTTGTCAACTTTGACCTTGAAAAGTATAAGCCAAATGGAACCCGGATGCCGGGTCAATCTGACCAGGGACGTTACAGAGCAGAGTGCACGACCTAACAAATCTATGTCATTGATTTAAATTCGTACTTTTAGCTCAGAGGAAAAAGATTATGAAATAAGGTGAATGGACCGATAGTTACGAGGTCTTCAGATTGAGTTCTTAAATTGTTGGTAATTCTTATTGAAAACTGTCAACTCCTGATCAGGTTTTTTTTTACAAGCACTTGGCACCCGCTGCTATATCAGACTCGAACCAGCCAGTCGATCCCGGCAAGCTCGGTGGTCGAGTGGTAAGACGTCTGCACTAGAAAGTACGACCTCGTGGGTTCGAGTCCCACCCGAGTGATTTTTCTCACTGTCACTCGGGGGTAACACGCTGAGTACACAAGTATTTATACGTCGGTGAAGGGCAAAACCTAATATCGAATTTACTTGGCACATGACAAATGCTCAAGTTGTAAAGGAAACTGTACCGACATTGACAGTTCTTCACCTCTTATTTGTGTTTTCCTAAACAGCTATGGTAGGTAATATGATGAAACTTAGAATTTTTCTGGGTCTTTTTTGTCAGCTTTTTAGATAGTTTGGACCGCATCGGATCCGACGACTACCTGCCTAACGAACAAGACATACTACGGACACGAGTCAAGACTACGGGAATAGTAGAAACTCACTTCACATTCAAAAATTTACATTTCAGGTAGGTGAGAAAGACTGCAAATCATTGGATACGTTGTTGGGAATTCTCAAGTGAATGCACTTGTGTTATTAAAAAAGAAAGTTTTTCCACCTTTTTATTTCATTGCATTTCACCTCTGAATATTCGAATTCGAAAATAAATATTCGAATATTCGCTAATTGATCGAATATTCTTATTTTCGAATATTCGGCACAGCCCTATCCCAAGTAAAGGCATAGGCCTATACTATTCTGCATGTTATTGAAGAAATCACATTTACATGGTTTTCAGATATAATTTTTTTTTTAGTTTTAGATCTACATGTCGGATTGTTGCAGCACTATACCGTGGCTATATACCTATAAGTCCGGTCTGATTGTTTTCCATATTAGTCCTTTGGTCCACAGGGCAATTTATTACAGCACAATGCCGAATATTCCTGTGGGACAATCCTTCTATGATTATAACCTTGACCATCTCATCACACAAGATTTAATTGATTGATGCGGACCTCTTCGGATCTGACCAAATGATTGAATCCGTTTCATGAAACCACTTTGTAATTCAATAGTTTGGCCATTCATGACGGGAAGGACCTGTCCATACATAGGCCTACCACTCGTCTTAGGCATTGAGAGTACATAGTCTGACTCACATTGCCCTAGTTCATATTGCTTTCTGTGCACGGTGAATCATAGTATTGTACTTTTTTTTATTATTAACAATGTGAATGAATTAATATATGACTATCCACCTGCTTAACTGTAACGCATGGTAAATATGTTTTTAATGGCATTTCGTTGGGAAAAAATATAATCGATCTTTGCACTAATTGTTGTTAAATTATGATGAATTTAAACTCTTCACGTTGTGAGTTTTGACTTAAATTTGAAAATATTAATATTCAAAAATGATTGCAATCCATGCATTTTACATTTTGTGAGGAATTTGCAGCTAAGCCCAATTTTTCCTCAAAACATTGGGGAAAAAACGTACGTAGAACGATCTAGTATGATCTAGGGATACATCTGTCCTTTTTTAAGTACAAGAGAGTTAATTTTATTGCTTACAGAACGAAATTCAATGTTTTCTGAAAATTGGCACACGATGTAGCAAATACATTTACCATAACTGAATTTGATGTACACTTTTTGCGGCGACCCCCTTACTATGACACGGCGTGTGGTAGCCTACTCGTAGATTGTTTAACAACAACACAAGTTGATTTGTCTATCAAAAATAATATAAAATTAGGTCAATCTTGAAAGTGGGCTTTTAATTAACTTCAAGTAAGTTTCTTTTTTGGGGCGCCATCGAGAACTATATCGTTACTGTTGCATTATTGAATATAGCATCACCCCGTTCCATGCAAGTAATACTGCGCATGAGTCGAGAGTAAATTCCATGATGGGTGATATCAGTAAATAGGCCCAAAATTGCCTACGCTGGCCAAATCACAATTTGCATGCCCTCAAATCCTCCCATATTAGAGCATTTTGAGGGCCGTGAAATTCAGGATTTTTAAATAGACGGGTGGAAGCCGTGCAGAGGACTGCAAGCTCGTAAATGTGTGAAATTTGGATGTTTTTAAGCCCTTAAATGGATCTATTTTGTGATGGAGCGTAGGCGTCTATTTGAAAAAATGGCGATGGGCTTCAGGACTGCTTTTGGGGGTGATCATCTTTGGAATTTTCTCCCAAAAGTCATTGGATAGTAGAACAAAAATGTGACCGAAAATGAAAGATGATGAAATAAGCTTTAATTTGACATGTATCTCAAACACCTCTGAGAGTTGTGAGTATTTTTAAATAATTTTGGGAAGTGCGCGTAATTACCACTGAGGTCTATGGCAGTCTGTTTACTGGTCTGCAACCAAAATGAGCACTCTGACCATTGCAAAAAGACACACAACTGGCCTCATTCAACAGGCCAGCGTATACTCCCTTGCATCATGACGTAGATCAGGTCAATGCTTGTCATCCTTTTGATACTGATGACGCAGCTTTCGTTGATGCCCACACGCATACAGAGAGCTCAACAAATCGAACGGTCTGCATATATCGCGGCGTGCCAATCTCATTACGAGCCATTTTCTCCGGAGATTGTCGTCTGCGCGCGGGAATACATTATTGTGCGTGTGTGTGTGACTGTGCGCCGTTGCAGTTTCAACTATATGCAGATGTAAATATTCAGGATATAATAGATATCACCGAGTCACCTCTAACGCTTTCCCTGGCGGCTACTATATATACCGGTAGACTTTTTACTGCTTCTACGGTATCCGTTATACTTCTCATTGCAAGTTCATTCAGAGCAACACTATAAAGCACTATACATAGTCAATTATCACATCGAATCGCAGAACACAAATATAGGCATACCATCTTATTTCTCGGTAGGCCTATATCGCTTCATTTTACGTGCACGGTATATCGTATGCAGTCACGCCAAATGATTATGTTCCTTTAAATGGCAACATTTCATTGGATTAACGTCATATGCATTTTAGTTCGACACGTCACTATACACTACTGTCATGCGATACCATTTCTTTGTGCAATGATGCTTTTAATAACCCAAGTCCTTTCAGTGCAGCTTATCACACAACACAGAAGCTCAACTCGGTGATCATTATTTTCCATTTACACGCAGTACATTCCCACTATATACCAAGAACAACGAGGAATGGTAATGTGAAATTTTCAGCGAAATGTTCATGCGAAATCCGTACGATTTTGATGACAAGTACAGAGGGAGCCGGTTTCATAATGGAATCTGGACTCCTATGAAATCTAGGCTTATTTGGACTTGATAACCCTCACACATGACCTGTGACTGTCCTAATTATGTTCACTTAGACGTGCACAATGCAACAAATGAGTCCATATTTCCCTGAGTGCAAATTTCACAATGCACGTCAAGAGGTCAAGTAAGTTTAGCCTTCACATTTCCACACGAGGTATATAAGACCTAAAAGTGTGTTGGATTCCAACTTCGTCCCCATCATGGGTTACTTTATTTTCAACCTCGTTTCCAATGGTAACCCCTGGCATAGGAAACTTGCTTCCTGTATCCTGATTCGATACAGCAATAGCAAGTAATGGATTTATATCGTGTACTAGGTGTTTTTATTTCCAACGTCTATTACGTATTTTATTGCTTCGTCCTTCAGATGGGACGTAAATCCGTATAGGTCCCGTGTGTTGTGTAATGCACGTTAAAGAACCCAGTAACTCTTATCGCTAAGAGAAGGGGTTTGCCCCGGTGTTTCTGGTAGTGGTTGCAATATGCGCCGCAGCACCTTTTTGTAAACCCTTACAAGGTGCTACATAATGGGTCTCATATTTCTCATAAACTTCATTTACCTGTCTTTAACAATATAAATAATTTCTAGCGCCTTGAGTACCTAATTGTTGGCAGATAATTATGTGCGCTATATAGGACTCCGGTATTATAGTTATAATCAGAGTTGTTCAATCAATAGTTGCCTACATGCAGTTTATGATATTCTTCATCTAGTTGATGGTATTTTCGGGCCCATTATAAAGAGGTCAAAAAAACACAAAAAAAACATGTTCAAACATATTTGTGTTCTTCTAATGACAGGATGTAGCACATCATACCGGTTAAAATGATCCCTCGGCCCTTTAAGTTTCAAAATTCACCGGCATTGCAGCCAATTATTATTCCACTTTCAGCCTATTTCTATATTAAATATGTCGGTATCATGATCTTTTCCAGACTATTTGACGTTGGGGGTCAAAGGTCGGAGCGAAAGAAGTGGATACATTGTTTCGAAGACGTCACGGCAATCATCTTTTGCGTAGCACTAAGTGGGTATGACCAACGGTTGTTAGAAGATGACACAACGGTAAGGCTTCAATTATTTTTAGTTCAAGGACTCCAACATTGTTCCGTTTTGCAAACCTTTAATGTTCGTAATTATATTTACAATTTGCTTTCCTTGTTAAGCTGTCTTGTTGGAAGCGAATATAAATTGAGAACGGTGGCCTAACTAAAGGGTCGAATAGGAGGGGCATGTCCCCTCCCCCAAGGCCTTTGCCCTCCCCATCCGCTTGAGCCCCCCACCCATGGTTTATGTTGTTAAAGCTCACTACGTGCCTCCCACCTCGAAAAAATAATGCCCCCTTAGTGCCTCCGTAAAAAGTACCCCACTTACACTACTGACATGAATATATTTTGCCACGTCGATGAACATTTAAATTTTGTCACAAAGTTATTTTCAAGAAAGGAAGAATTAACTTGCACCTTTGTCATATTGTACTCATAATCTGTTACACCAAACTTTCCCAAGAGACTTTTCACATACCATTTTCAAGACAATGAAACTTAGTGATGCGTGACCAGAGGAATGCATCCACGATATCAAAGGAAAGCTTACTGCCCCTAGTTTATGATAAAATCATAATAATGGTCATTGACGACATAGCTTGGCCATTATTATCCCCTTGCTTGTGGGTTATTTTGGAGACGCCCTGTAGCACAATGTGATATCTGCATTCACTGAGTTTTGCCGTTTTCTCTTTCTCCGTGAAGAATCGGATGCACGAAAGCCTTAAACTGTTCGACTCCATCTGCAACAACAAGTGGTTCACCGACACCTCCATCATCCTCTTCCTTAATAAGAAAGACCTCTTCGAAGCCAAGATTGAGAAGTCGCCTCTCACCATTTGTTTCCCCGAGTACGAAGGTGGGGATTTATAGATTAATGAACTCAAATATCTTTAATTGTTATTTTATAAAGTGCTAAAATAGCGAACAATTACAGGAATTATCATTTCACCAAGGCACACTATTTAAAGGTCTATTAGGTCAGATTGACGTGGAATAAAAGGTCCATGTCATATTAACCCGGAATATAAGGGCCATGTCAGATTGACCCGGAATAAAAGGTCCATGTCAGATTGACCCGAAACATAAGGTCCAGGTCAGATTGACCCGGAATCAGGTCATATTTGACCTGATACGTTTGCTGGTCAAAATGATACTTCTCTTGATCATTTCTTTTTCCGGGGTAATTTTCACTCGGAGACCTTGGCAAAAGTGTCATTTTGACCCAGACAAGTGTCATTTTGATTCAGAAAAATATCAGGTCGAATATGATTCCAGGTCAAATTTTACCCGGAACATTTAAAAGTACAATTTTCTCATACAGCCTATGACTAGTTAAAATACACTTAAACATCTTTAATCATTTCAGTTGCGCACACTTTGGTTCACCTTTCTTGAAAGTTATAAAACACAATTCTAAGTTCATTTTGGGTCCCAAGAAGCTGTACAAATTGTTCTTTTTAACAGCAGCGGTCATGAACAAGAAAAAAATATCTCGGGTTGAGTCTATAAACAAACATCTGTGACCCAATCCGATGGGAGTTTATGGGAAAATTAATGACAACTGTCGTTCAATTAATTGTGTTTTCCCTTTTAGAAAATTGTCAACTGCAAGTTTAATCCCTCGACCTAACAAGGAAACCATTCTTATGCACTACCTAAACTTAGACCAAATGAAGAAAAAGAAAGCAAATGAATGCTACATAAGTAATTGGAATTTAAATAGGGAGTCTAAACTCAAAAGCTAGTTTCTCATCTAAACCTATAGACTATAGGTTACTTTTCATTTCCTACCTGAAAGATTTTTTTTCTGAGGGCTTCAAATTTCTTATAATTATTACCTATAAATGGTTATACAAAATTGAGCAGTTTTCCCATTCATAAGTACAACTTTTACTTTTAGACTTCACGTACAGAGATCAAACGAAGAAAATGTTGGATTTAATTAAGAAAGCTCATAGAGTGCTAAATGATGGACTTACCCAAACTGATTATTAAAACTGATGTTATGCACTCTTTGTCGATCAACAGGTGAAAATGAGTATTCAGCCGCAGTGATGTACATCCAGACTCAATTTGAGGCCCTGAACAAGAGCAACAACAAGGAAATCTACACGCACATGACGTGCGCCACAGACACTACAAATATCCAGTTTGTGTTTGACGCAGTCACAGACACCATCATAGCAAACAACTTACGAGGATGTGGTTTGTACTGAGGGCCCGTCTACAGACCCCTCGGTGTAGCTGTTTGCAGACACTGTACATAGATTATAAACATTTGGGCCTGTGAGAATATCTCGTCTGGTCCCATGCGTTCTGAAGATCAAGCCTATGTGCCGATACATATGACTCGTCTGGGAGCGGAATCTGTGACGTCATCAAGGCGGGAAACTTGTTGATGCTGATGCGTGGCGTTGGTGGCTGTATCTGAAATAGCGTGATGAATATACGCCAGGGAGATTTGGTTGAGAGATCAGCTGTCGTCAAAAACAGAGTCTATGTAAATCTGGACAGTAAGTATGTTTATGGGTGGGTTAGTGTTAACCATGATTGAAGCATGGTGGAGGACATGCCAGTCAACAACAATGACGCTGTGACATACTGAACGCGCTGACATCTTTGTATTGATTTTTCCCGCCTTCGGTATCAAAAGTATGACTGTCTTAAAACCAAATATTAACATTGTGATCTGTGTATAGTAACTGACAATTTTCGTAATTTAATGAAGACTTTTCAATTCCAGTATGTACGTCTTGCATCCACTACATTGTCATTTTGTTCATTGTATTTTTTTCCGTTCATGGCATGTGTTACCGTCTTGTATAGTGTTTTACACAATGCAACCATGTACTTACTTCCCAGAAAAACAAAACTCCGGGTCGTGGTTTATCCCAAATATGTATTGAGGTGTTTATGTTCAGTGTCAACTGCGCACAGCTGTGGTTTACAGCTGTGTTTTACCTCTTTCATGCATTTTGCCATTAATAGCAAGTCAATCGGGTGGAGCTGCGACACGGAGACTTTAAACCTTTTTGACAAAATTTCAGAAATGGCGTTTTGAAGAAGAAGAAAAAAGTATATATTTTGAAATGTCACGCCGAAACCAAAGTGTATAACACGATTGTTGACCAGATGACTCATGACGTAATAATGCTGACGAAGATAAACATGAAGATTGCCTTTGGTCTCTGAGAACCACCGGGAACTGGAATTAATACCTATGACTATTATAGGATCATATAGGTGATCTGTTTACAGTATGTAATAATGTATATAGATCTCCTTGTTATTCTTTTCCATCTTGTGAAACCATCATTTTGATTGTTTGCGTCCCGTAAGATTTGAATAATGCATCTAATAAACCATCGCGAAAGACAGCGACATTCAGAATTTCTTCCCGGGTAGGCCTACTTCAACTTTTCCTCAACTCAGGCGTATTTCATTGTAAGCATTAAAGAGTCGAGCCGAGCTATATGTACATTTTATGCTTGCTCACGATCGGTGCAGAGTTCATATACATGTAGGTAGTATAGCATAGTACAGCTAGGATAAGGCGTAAGCATAATGGCCACAACTGTATCATGACAGAATTCATGTTGAAATCGTTATGTCGTTATGCTCGATTGTGTATGGTACCATTCCCTGGTACTCGCGAAGGTCGGAGTATCTGGCAACAGCACTGATTGAATTACTGGATACCTGTTGTCTCAACAGTAGCTTCCATTGTTGTATGTTTTGAGACCGGTCTCGAGACCAGTTTTGCTTGTCTCTGTCTCAGTACCCCCATCATCCCCATGGTCTCTGTCTCGGTACCCCATGGTCTCTGTCTCGGTACCCCATGGTCTCGGTCTCGGTACCCCATGGTCTCGGTCTCGGTACCCCATGGTCTCGGTTTGGGTACCCCCATGGTCTCTGTCTCGGTACCCCATGGTCTCGGTCTCGGTACCCCCATGGTCTCGGTCTCGGTACCCCATGGTCTCGGTCTCGGTACCCCATGGTCTCGGTCTCGGTGCCCCCATGGTATCGGTACCCCCATGGTCTCGGTCTCGGTGCCCCCATGGTATCGGTACCCCATGGGCTCGGTCTCGGTACCCCATGGTCTCGGTCCGTTGGTCTCGATCTCGGACATTGAAGGTCTCGATATTTTGCTGGTCTCGATATTGAGGCAACCAGTATACAGCATATAGAATCACTAATACTAGAGACGACAAGAAAGATCAGCAGGGCGTGTTTTGAACCTCCTCCTTCTGAAATGTGAAATCAACTTACAACCATTCTCATGAACATTAAAATCTGAACTCGACAACAACATGTTGCTTGTCTTTATTAATCACACAAAGTCACTTATATGATCCATTAAGTTAAGTGGGCTCTTCTAAATAAACATTGGCCATTATGAAATGCACTTGTTAACACTCAACTAACATTGGCATGTAAATGGAAAATAACAAACATGATTCGGGATAGGAGCCAATCCTATCAGCACACTAACCACGGACAAATTATATGAGAATGATAATTACATGAAAGTTTTCGAGAACGGTCTCATATCAAAGACGAATTATTGTTAAATGTATGTTTTATTGAAGACTTCATATAACTGCATCACTTATGGTTACTTAAAAGTATAACTCTACGGTATCGGACAATGTATTAGACGTAGAGTGCATGTACAATGTGTATTGCGAATCACACTCTTCCTTTGCCAAAACATACACGTATGTCATTATGCAGGTATATTTTTTTCTTTTTACTTTGTTTTATGTAATTTAAACGTGAGGTCCCGAGGACTCGGTCTCGGTCTTGGACCATCAGGTCTCAGTCTTTGTCTCAAGCCTCAAGGTCTTGGTCTCGGTCTCGGACGTCGAGGTCTCGGCCTTGGTCTCGGACTCAGTCCAGGTCTCGACTTCAACACTGGACTATATAGCTTCGGGGTCCGTCGGCATTTGTTTGTGTAACATCAAGTGCGTACCAAGCAATATTATGCTGGGCGCTTAGGCCTAAAAGGTTCCGAGATAAGCAAACATTTTACTGAACAAATGTAAATAACTCACTGAAAGACTATAACCTTGAGTTGATAATTCAATGCATATAATTAGGGATGTATAAATGAGTCTTTCCATCCATTTTCGTATTGTAGCCCCTAAACAAAATGACTATCGCCCGGCCATGTTGGCATTAAACTGAACCGTCAACAAAATGTTAAAATAACCCTATCAGGACCGGGCACACCAACTCAAAATTAGAATATGTTGTGATTTTTATAATATTTTTTAGAAATATTCATTGGTAGCTTCGCGATCTGACAGGATAAAAAAAAATTGAGCTCGTATGCGCAAGTATACTGGAGATGTAATATACAGGCTTTTCGAACGAATTGGTCATTCCATAAATTTGGGGTCCAAAAGTGTGACTTTGTGTGTCCCAGTTACACCTGACCTGGGTAATTTGCCATGCAAGTATCATTAAAATTGACTTCAAACTATTTTTTGCAAAAATGTAAGTTGACAGGTACTTTGCTTTACATAATCACGCTTGGAGATAGAAGGCATTAAAGAATGTGTCCTGAATTTACAAAAATCTTATATCACACTAAGAAGGGACACAAGGGAAAAAATTGGACACCAAATTTATGGAATGACCCAAATAATAATCTCTTCATGCCAAAATTCGAGGTTCTATCCTGGCGCAATTTGGTGATAGAGACTTTCACAAATATGTTCTGGATAGTTTAAATTATTTGAGAAATAATGAAAGAAAAGGGGGGGTTTGGCAAAAACGTTTTTGTACAACCCTCTGTCGAAAACCATGTACGGTGTATTCGTGCACTTTAAAAAAACCTGGTCATATTTGATCCAGAATCCGGGTTGTAGTTGACACTTTTGGTCAAATGACACTTTTGCCAAGGTTGCCGGGTCGAAATGACCCGGCAAATGAGTCAGAAAAGTGTCATATGACCAGGCCAAGTGTCAATTTTGACACAGTAAGGTGTCAGGCCAATACAGAGCCCGGATTCCGGGTCAAATCGGACCAGGAACTTTTAAGACAGTACAGGATGTCCCAATAAACATTGTGCATGAAGAAATCGCTGATTTTCTCAAAAGTTGGTCAGACTAGCTTATCAAATGTTATAGCATTTTCAAGCCTATGGTCCTGTTTATAATTGGTAAAAGAAATCAAGAAAATCCAACGATGCAAACCAGAGATATCTTTGATTTGGTAAGGCTATGCATTTTTCGACCTGCACAATGTTATTTCCACACTTAATGTTTGCTTGTATGTACCAATTATTGGGTTATTGGTATGTGTTCGCAGTGCTTGAAATATCGCATGGCCTTTATGTAAAAAGGTTTCATTTTGTAAATAAATAAAAAAAGAAACAGCCTAGCTAGAGGGTGTTTATTTGATTGTTCATCAAAGATTATTAAAAAGCACGTGGTAACTGCTCTTATTGCAAATTACTCGAGCGTCAACGTTGTATAGACCTTTTTGACGCTCTTTGCGAACATGCTTAACTAGACTACATGATTCTAAAATCAACGATATCTCTGGTTTGCATTGATTGATTTTCTTGATATTTTCACCAATTATAAGCAAGACCATAGACTTACGAATAATATAACATTTGATAAGCTTGTTTGACCACTTTTGAGCAATTCAGTGACTTCTTCATGCACAATGTTTATTGGGACACGCTGTATATTGTAATCATATCATATCACGCCCAACAAGTATTGCGTCAACATTATTATGATTGATGGAAAAATGAATTTACCGTGAAAAAGTCAACACACCAGTAACACCTTTACATGCGTTTGGCGTTTAGACAATTTTCCTTAATATCAATGAGTATTGTAGCGATCATAATGTCTTTCAGGATCAAATAACTAGTTGACAAATGGCGTTTAAAGTTTTAGTTTTCTCCCATATTATGGGGTCTTTTTATTACATCAACCGCTAAAAGAACCTCCGAAGTGGATCACAAAAAAGTAAATAATAAGGATAGTCTAGCATTGGTAATATCTTATATGCTGTAGGTTGTATTTGAAATGATTTAGCAGTGACGTAATAATGACGCTTTATATAAATAGATTATAATAGACGTGACGTGAGTGGTTCCAGAAATAACTGGGCAGCTGCTGCTATATATAGATAGATTGCTGGACGCTGTACTATGTGACAAAATGTGCCGTTTAATCGATAACAAAAAAAAGTTGTGCAATTTTTATATTTTTCTGGGATTTAATTAAAAAAGAAATTGATAAATAGAAAGTGAAATAATAACGACAGACCGTGTTAAACGAACAACCCAGTAAGCGGTAAACGTGTACCAGACCATTCCTTTACTGCGTTGTGTATGTGCGAACTTACAATTTAAAACAAAAACAAACAAAAAACTTAAAAATTTTACGAGTGTGTAAATATTAAGTCAGAAAATATTGTTACCCGAAATGGTGACTATTTGCTGCTTGGTGTTTTTCGCAGCATGAGGGTGGTTTTTTCATGGATTATTGATAACATCTTTACAGATTTTTACTTTTTCACCTTATTACTATAATTCTTAACAATGCTGCGATTCCGTTTGCTTATCATAGTTGCGTCAAGTTCGTGACGAAAATGACATAATAGAAATAGACTCGTAACGTAATCGTAGAACAGTTAAAACTGACGTAACACACACTTTACCTGTTGTTAAACCTCATTGTATAAATACATATGCAGAAGCGAAAATCCCACATGAAATTCATTGTTCTTTTACGTTCAAATATAACACAGAATGAGTAATGCGAAAATACAAATATTCCTTGGTCACCCTTACCCGTGAAACCGAATAAAAGGTATTTCACGTGCCTTCGGCGAGTACACTGCAAATTGCTAATGCTGAATACGAAGTGATGAATCACCGAAACATCCCAAATCTTGTATCGTGTTAGTCTAAGATGTCCACAATCAAATAAATTTTGGGGGATAAAAGTTGGCCCGCCATTGTGGCAATTTGAAATCGACAAAAGGGTTGAGATGACATTATATCTCTCAAAATCCACCAAAAAGTATTGTAGTTTGTATTTGAATGAACACTCCACTAAGTTCACATTTCTCTTCATACGAACTACTGCAAATTACACAGACAAAAAGCCAGTGTTTGCTGAACGCATAATATAGCCTACACCTCATGATTGTAACATCTTTAAGTGGAATTTTGCTCAATCAATTTTCTGCCTGTTTTGGGCTAATTTGTATTATTTGCAGACATACCATTTGTATTAATGAAGGTGCTATTATACTTTTATTGGCTTAGTCGTTATCGTAAAGGTTGAATTCACAGAAATAGAATTGCTGATATACGTGCATGCTTAGCCGCATTGGTTTTAATATCATTAATAGCATACTATCGATGACACTTTTTAACATTACACTAAAACAATTGAATTGAACGTAAGAGTTTGACACTCGACTTCATGTCATGTTGACAACTGACCAGCCTTAATATACTTATGTTATGATGAATTGACAAGATACTTTATTTCTTGGTCTTTTTGTGGGAGGGGGGGGGGGGGGGTTGTTGTGCAGGTTGACACACAAGCAAATGCATCTTTCTCTCAACATAATCTTTATTGAAATTTCAGCGTATCATGAGATCGTGATCAGCTTTGAAAAGAAGGAAGCGAAGGCAGAACTTTTACCGTGGGTTGCACATGGTCTATTGGTGTCATGCAAATTTACATTGGTTTCAATTTAAAATACGCGCCCGTAAAGGCAACGATTGTTTGACAAGCTCTAGACTTTTGAACTCAGCAACAAGTTTTTGACATTCGCATTGCATTCTGGCTATAGACGACAACAAGTGAAAGTTTGTTCTCAAATTTTTGGGAGCATTGTACCAGTCAGTGTTTAAATTACATAGATTTCTCCAGTTTTTTCCGAAATTCTTTGATAATCATATCTAATATTAGTGCACATACATGTAAAAAGATAATAAATTCAAAATAAACCGATTTTAAAGCTTGGGGGATTTATTTTGAATTTTGTTTCAAGGTGCCAGTCACCAAGCACATGGAAACAAATGTGATTGGTCAGTGTTTGATGAGAGAATATGAGATCCCGACGCTGATTGGCCGATGTTGGCTTTTCCAGCGTCAGGGTCACAGTTCAAGATATACTCAAAATTACTGCTGCAGCAATGTGTGCAAAGAATGATCACTCATTTCTGGATAATACGGAATCAAAATAAATCTGTAACTGGTTCCCTGCCCGACATGTTCACTGGTTCCCCACCTGACATGTTTGTACGCAAATTGCCTAGTTTGTGTGTCAACTTTACCTGGAATGCATTGCGAATATCGAGTTAGGTTTATTTTAATGTACTGTACATGTTCACCTAACATAAGCAGGGCTCGGATCTCCTAATCATGATGAAAAGGCAGGGTCGTGTACACGTATACAGTTGGTGAAAAACACACAGCATTATCGTGAGGCCAGTAAAGTCGATAGTGAGGGGTGCGGAGTTGGAATTAAATGTTGTATAAAAAAAACACGGTTTGTGGCCGACTTGTAAATATTCAAATTGTGTCCGACTGCCGTATGTGTGGGCATGTGGTCAGTGTTGTCACAGAGAATGTGTACGTGTATATTTTAAGCCTCTTATGAATCCGACGAATCGCCTAACATGAAGATAGGATTAACAAATGTATTAAAAACAAAACTAACGGAACATAGCAGCGACTGTTTTTGTTTTTGTTTCCTTCGAAAAGTAACTTGATGACGTTAATATTGAAATGTATTTAAGTGGTTACTATAATTACGTTTTGGGTCATGTTTGTACAATGTTTTGACTGTCATTGATGCCGTGGACATTAAAACGAACGTTATGGAGACAAACGTTGCAACATTGCATGTCATGTATGTGTCGTTATTTTGCTTATAAAAATGTCCGCAAAATATTATTTTGATCCGAAGAATAATGTTCGAAACCTAACCTGTTGAAGTTCAGCTCAGTTGATATAACACTTTTCGAGAAACCAGCGACAAACTATGCACAACCTTTTGATCACAAAACACGATTTCGTCCATAAGACTCTTTATTTTCCAAAAATCAGTCAACTGAATGATTGTTGGTAATCACCTCCATTTGTTTGATTTCTTCTAAATGACAGCAAGCCAGACGGAATACGTTCACGATGTGCTTAGTACCAGTACGCTTTTTAAAAATAATTCGGCAGGATACCTTTGGGATAAATGCAAATGATCCTATATGCCTTTAAACCTAGAGGGTTTTTTTTTGGGGGGGGGAGAGATATTTAAAATTATAATATGGATTTAAGAAAATCAAGACTTCCATTTCTCACTAGGGGGCGCGCTGTTCATGAGAGGAACATTATATGTATTTTACTTAATGCATCCTTTATGTCCATTTTTAAAATTTGACCGTTTGGCTGAGATGCTCTTCTTCTTTTTTTCTCCACTCCCCATTTTGACAGCTATACTTTTAACCTCTTTTGCATTGTGACAGTTGGACGTCATGATCATTATTTTATTATTTATTTTCAGTAAACAAATCGGGGGTGGGAGGGGGATACGCCTCCCTCCGGTCAAAAGTGATCGAGGATGTTATTCTCCCCACCCCAGCCAGAATGTACCTCGTCCCCACCCCCAAGCCCTCTGCACTGAGACTATACACATCGAGAAGCGTATACGGTCGTGCTCGGATTTGAAAACATTATGTGGGCACAGCCACATTATTGCACGGGCTTACTTGCATTAATTAACATTTATATATTGTGTACACTTTTGTTCCAATCGGAAAGCAATTAACAAAACATAACTGTAACATTCAAGATGACCAATACTGCAAAATACATGATTGCAGACACAGCTGCCCATCCGATGCACGTAAGGCGAAACATCATAGGATGCAACATGCAACACCCAAACAGATGATTTTTCCCCAACCCAAATTGGTTCATTACACCAGAAATCCCCTTTGAAGGAATCACGTGACCAGATCATTCGCATCCCGCCCGGCTTAAGGCCCGACTACCCTCGCCGTATGACGTCAATGCGGGTTGTGGTTGCCATGCCAACCCCGGGAGGTGAGGAGACTGGTTTTCAAGCCTGTCCTGGTAAAAAGGGAAAGGGTGCCAAATGAAGGTTGAAATTTGCGCCCGAGGGGTCTGAACCGAGTAGGACACACGGGACTGTGCTGTGCCTTTGCCCCGTGCACTCTCCTCGTCTCCGACATATACCGCTCCGTGCTCTCGTACCCCTGATCACGATCAACACGCCTTAGAGAATCTATTTTCCTTTCTTTTTTTGGCAATGTCATTCACCTCATTGCCCAATCACGAATCCTGAAATATACCCAACCGTACGCACACAAACTCTCAATCGAGACAAATAAAATAGGCTATCGTTTGCGATGGTTCGCGCCAGTTAATGCATTAACCCCAATACTGCAGGCATGTAGTGAAAGAGCATCAAATGAAGTGGAAATGTCTGCTCAGAATAAGAAATGGGGGTAATACTGGTCTTATTGTTGTTTCTACCTGCAGGGCTTGCTACAGAGTAGACCTAATTATTATCACCAACGCCCTTGGAAACGACGTTGAGTGACGCGACCCCCCCCCCCCCAACCTCCCAACCGATTCGTGTGGTGTGTGATGGGAGAAATAATATATGGTGAGGACGCCCTCGTTTGACTTCTTACCCTCCGGAACGTGTCCGTGCAGCTCGAACAGCCAATCATCATGAATTTTGGTTCTTTTTCCTAACTTTTATCGGGTGGTACCGATACCAATTCTGTGGGCTGTCGGGACCGATTTAAAAAAAAAATATCATCAGTTTTAATTTTTATTGAGAAAAAAACCCAATATTTTTCGTGAGTAAAAAAAACATGTTTTCTTTGCGCAAACCTATATATATATATATATATTATCCACTGAAGCCTTAAAACCATGGTAACGTGATCTACTACAATGCATGCTAGGATTTCAGTTATGTTCTCTCAAGGAAGACGAGAACAGACTCTTAGTCTTCGAAATGGCACGTTTAAGGAAAATAATGGGCCTAAGCAGACAAGACAAAATCAGAAACACCACCATCAGACAATCGCTAGGATTAGGCCTAAAACAATGGACCGATCCAGTAAAAACCGCCCCATGGTGTTCTGGCCAATCACAGCCGTGAGTTATGTCCGACGTGCGTGCACTAAAGTCCGACGTGCATGCACGCGCGTATGATGCGCGCGGAAGGAAAATGCAGCGTGGCATTGGAGAGGAGCACGTGTTAATTTGCTCACGTGCGTACTGGGCGGAGCTCACTGGATAATGCATTACACAAAAGCGTCTTCGTTGTTTTATACGGACACATAATGAGAATGGACTCTCAAAGACTTCCTTAAACATTCAATGGCATGCAAGGACAGCCATATCAAAACCTTCAACCTAACATCACTAACAAAAGCAAGCAGAACAGCCTAAATAAAAGAGAGAAATCTTATGAAGAGGATGGCATCACTCAGCCTAGTTGGAGCGGACGCCATAAAGTAAGTGAGATGTTTGACTAATTGTTGGAAATCGCATTTCCTGATTTCTTCTAAATGACAGCAAGCCAGACGGAATAATTTCACGGGGTGTTTAGTACCAGTACGATCTTTAATCCAAGTAAGATTTTTGATTAAAACACTTCACTTTTGGGATAAACGCAAATGGTCCCATGATTTTTTTTAAGATTGCATGCTCAGTACATGTATTATCCATGTTCTGAATAACTTCCGGCTAGATGCGAAGAACGTTTCATACAAAGAAATTCGTACTAGTCTCCATTTGCCTTTTTTTTATTAAAATATATTTACTTCGGTGCAATCTATTTCTGGAAGATGTCGACCTATGACGTCACTTGGTCCTACATTTTTGTGACGTCACCAAGACAGTTAAAATAGCCACCATCTGTCCTTAATGGTCGTTTGACCTTATAACCACATGTGACGCTGGTATCGTCTGTCTTCATTTAGCTCCCTATACCAACCAACGCGTAATGCAAGCCATGGTATACGTCAATTAAAATAGTCGGCATTTCAATGATAAACTGAACCTCGAATCATAAAAGCAGGCTATACACACAGGATCAATGATTTATATGCTATTGGATGCATGGTACAAAAAAAGGAGTCATAAAATGTCCAGGAATTCCTTATTATGACAAAACAAAATCTGAAATAAAGATGGCTATTGAGTAGGCCTATTTGGAATTATCACCCATTAAAAAAAAATTTGTTACATTTTTGAATATAAGTTTTCAATGCACCTAATAACTTAATCAACAAAGTTAGCTGGTGCCCGCGGGCACCCTTTTTACGTGCGCTACCAATGGAAATCAGTTACGAGTTCGAAACCCACAAATTGGGCAAAAATATTCTTTTTCTCTGTAACCACTGAGCCTAACCTTTCAAAAGGTTTATGTTATGGACCTTATACTTCAGATCATTTTATTTTTATTACTATATCGCGTCTAGTTTGCAAATTTGAACAATTTACGTTACTGAGGAACCTTTTATCGCTTGTTGTCGTCGGTTCGTAGTCCCTTAAATGAAATTAGTAGTAAAATGGAGGTTAATCTGATTTTTTTTAAGGGCCCGTGTAATATATTTTTTGGATGCAATCCTTGGAAATGCACCTTTGTGTCCCTCTTAACAGTTTTTCAATGTACATTTTACCATTGTTAAGGACATTTTGATGCCTTTTTTTTTATGATAATGAAACTTTACATATTCGTAAGCAAAAGTGTGATGTCATTTTAGGCAGAAACCTCAATGTTACAGCCATTGATGATATTTTTTTTTTCACTTCCCTTAACCGTACGATTTTTTGAAATGTATAATAAATTATAAGTAAAAAGAGCTCCCACTAGCGTTAAAATAGGTTCAGAAACCCTCCCCCACCCCTTTTTAAATTTGCAGCACTTGCTCAGCACTTGCAGCGGTGACCGGTGGCCTGGAAATTTGGGGGAAATGTTATTGAGTCCGACCATGGAAACCCCTTATACTGGTGTCTTCCCCCCCCCCCCCCCCCGAGAAAAGAAAAACGGGGGGGGGGCAGTCTAGACATCTGGTGGTTTAGCTGGGAGAACTGACATATCGCAAGAGGGCGGTATGCAGCGTTAGAAGGCCTACGTCCTACTATGGTGCTAGCCGCCTTTGGCAAAAATCTTATATCAGTATACCAGTCATGTACCCATTGGTAACGCGCCCTGGAGCAACTGCTCTTGGTTGTATAGGCCTACCCGCTCAAGGAAGTTTTTGGGAGACTCAACAATTTGACAAGGCTACAAGCGATCGAATGGTTCTAGGTTGTTATACGGAGTACTGAAAACACAAGAAAGCCTAATACAAGAACTTTATTTTTTTTAAGTGGACTGAATTCGGCGTCGCATTTTTGAACGTCTCATTTTTAAGCTCTGGCAGGGATTATTTTGATGCAAGACTTTCATGCAGGACGGCAAGCGCTTATTGTGCACTCGCACTTCTTTTTCTTTCGGTCGGGAGCCCACATGAGTCGGTCGGAAATGAAAACCAAAGATAGAAAAAAGGGATGCCCTGAGGCAAATTTTTTTTATTTTTGTTTATTTAACACCTTACAAATACTGTTATGTCACAATCACATTTTCCGTTTGAAATTTCCCCGAATATTTCTCTTTAGGCACTAGTATAGTCACTACAAAATAATACAAAGAAAACACAAACACTCAAACGCAATATCTAAGTGAGCGGAAATTTCATTGGTTTTATTCCTTTAGTTTAAATGAAACTGTAATAGTTAACCATACCAATATACTTCATAATGTATGGGAAAAGATTATGAACAATTAATCTAAAAAATAAAAAGAATTACATTGTAAATATATATATTTTTTTTCTCAATGCTAAACGTCTAAAAATATCATGGAAATAAACTGCAATACTAATGGTGGCAGCAACAATGCCCAATAAGGGAGGATTACCTAAACATGGGATGGAACATACACGCTGCACAGCATTTCAAGAAATGTCAATGTAAAAATCCTTAAATTTACATTAAAATAAAAGAAAAGCTAAAGTCCCAGGAAAAAAATAGCAACTTTTTTCGAACAACAAACAAGTTTAAAAAAGGATTAATTTAACACATACTCTAAACAAAATAAGCTCTACACAGGGTGAGTAAAAAAAAAAAAAAAAAAACACCCAAATGCCAGGACCATTTTTTAATGAGGTTCTGCGTGTAGCACTTTCCAAATCTAGGATCTGAAGGCTCAAGTAATAAGCTTTCTTTCAGTACAAGAATTATTCAAATCACTCATGTACTTTTCAAGTTACGGAATTTTAAACACAAACACCGTTTTAAACTTCTGTCCACGCATCACAAAAAGATTGTGTTTTTTCAGCAAAACAAGAACAATTCACATACATCCCTATGTGAATTGTTTTTGTTTTGCTGAAAGAACACTTACCTGCATGCTATTCCATAGACTTCTTATGGGTGGAGCAAAAACACAATTTTTTCCAAAAAGCTTTGCATTGGGTACAGCTGCTTTATTGCTTGATGTCTGATTCAGCCTTTCTCCATCAACTGGAAATGGACATAAACTATCTACCATATACATATATATCCCAGCTATATGTGTCGTAGTAAGAAGGCACTATACATTATAAAATCAGCCAATACAATGTACATGTTATAAAAAGGTTGCGAGACAGACTACAACTTAGAATATTCTAACACTCTGCCAAACACTTATCTAAAATATCTCCTTTATACAATGTAGTACTAAAACTATCACCATTTTCCTCTCTAACAAGTTGCAAATGTAAAATGAAAATTATACATTGAAAAATCCCAGCACACCATTTTCCAGGCATATTTGACCTCAATTTTTTTTTTTAGGAAAATGTGTCCTGCAGTCGCCCCTAAAGTGAACTGTCTACAGTGCAGAATGCTCAAAATGGAGGAATAATAGGAAATCAAAGACGAACAAAAAAATTTTGACCCCCGAAATTCGTTCTTACAAGAATAACACAAAAACGCCTAGTTGTGTGGATGTATATCCTACTTTTAAATGCTCTTTCCAATTAACATATTTTGTTTAAAAATGCATTTTGTAGCCCAACTGGGCGCATTCTAGGATGGACACTTTAAAAAAAAAAAAAAAAAAAAAACACACCATTGTTTATAAAAAAAGGCCTTATGCAAAGACGATCAAGAAAACCAAGAACTCTGAAAATTACTATGTAAACAAAAATATGAAGAAACAGTCTAACCCTGACACATGTTTGTGTTGTTCAAAAGGCCAAAAGACAAAAGCGTTTGTTATTTTGTATAGGTACACTGACTGACCATTATCTAGGAAATCACAATTATATCGCAGTTTAGTGAAATGGCTTGCATTATAAATATACCTTAAGTTACAACAACAGTTTCATACACATTGTAACCTTAAATTAGACACACGTCATTATTTATATCTTGCTTCAGCTTATTTGAAATCCTAAAGATTCAGGTTGATATTAAACTGTTTTACATCTCCTTACTAGAATTCACAGAGTGAAAAGGTTGTCTAAGAATACCATACAAAAAGCTGGTCCCAAGCCTCATAAATCAGTCACAACGTAGCTTGACGACTGGTTTCCATCAGCACCATCGCCCGATTCAGGGGGGTTCCTTCCCTGATAGGAGTGGGCCCCCTGCTGCTCAGCCTTGGACCCCCTGTACTGGAACCCCCTCTCCCCTGCTTTCGGGGAGGTGGAGCTGTACATGTCCCTCAGGGGATCGTGGGGCGAGTAGGGTGGGGGATCCGGTGGGGGGGTCCCCGGCGTGGCAAACCGCGCTCCGGCAAAGGGTGCATAGTGAGGCGGGTTCACCCTCCTGTTGGGAGCCGTGGACCCGGTGGTGTAATGCGCTGCCCCCGGGGTCGGATCTGTCGGGGTCTCTGGTGGGCTTGCTGAAGTCGGAACGGTGGTACTAGGTGATAAGACTGGTGAGAACTGCTCCGTAGGGCTGGTAGGCTGCGGGGAGAAGGGAGTAGCTCCAGGAGATAGCCTCTGGATGTGGCAGGTGTAGCACAGAAGGTCATCGTGAAGAGGGTAGCACCTTTTACCGTCCTCGTCTGACAGCTGAAGTCCACAGTCCTGTTCAAAGACACAAATAAAATGGAACTTATTAATTATACACGTGCTAGGCTGGGACTTATAAATGTACCAAGTAAGGAATCCCTACCCTTCAGTACCCCGTCAACTGTTACAAAGGGTGAGTTTGAGGAGACATCTGGGTGGGACGATGCCAGACACTAACACGAAGATGCTAGAGGTTAGTGCGCATTTAGAATGAAGTAAAAATTCAAAATTTGTCCTTGCTAATTTTGACTTTTTAGGACATATTATCACTTTCTGATGGGTTATAGGTCATTTAAGGGAAAAATGACTGATGGCCAGATATGGGAATCTCTCCTTTCTTTGTTCAACTTTTCATAAATTTACATCAGTTATAATTAACGAGATGTAGATTTTGGTCACTTACCAAACATCGGTAGCATTCCACGTGAAAATCCTTGTCCATCGATACCACTCGCACCGTCTCCATGGTGCCCTGGACCAAATCAAAGTACAGAAATGCCACGTTATTTACACCGATCCAATCCAGAACAGAACAACGGAAGCAAGAGGCCTGCAAGGCTTTCTACTGATCTACAAAAGAGCGGAGACTTTTGTTAGTGAAAATGGAAGGGTGAAGATGAAAGACAGTGACTTGACATTTACATGCGATTGCTAAAAATTTCCAGGCACGTCTTGTAAAAAAAGAATCCACTTCATTTGATAGAGTAAAACGATTCCCGAATCCAAAATTTGTCACTTCAACTGTCCACAACAATGTCTTAAATATGAACTTGTTCATATGTTTCACACCAAACTATATCAACTTCACTACTTCTTTAGTTCTGTTCAATTCCTCCCCCACCAAAAAAAAGAAGAAGTTATGTTCCCTTTTGGGCCTTCAAGATGGCTTAATGTGTTTTTTTCCAAGAACAAAAACATTTACTACAAAAAACAACAGAAAAAATTGGAAGTGTTGCAGCCCTACTGCACAACTGACTCTGTTACAACTTCATGTTTTATAAGATGTCTTTCAATTCAATTGCAAAAATGAAGGAAGTGTGGAAGGGGGAAATGTACCAATTTTGTACCCCATATTTGTTGTTCTGTGTCCCTTCATCCTTTCTCAAAACTATTCTGCAGCAAACACTGTTGACTTTTGAAACTGTGTGCACAGGGCTTTTCTTCAAGTATATCATTTGCAGCTTTCCAAAAAAGTAACTGACAAAATTATTGTTGAAAAGCTTACTTGGTTTAAAGATAGTAATGGCACTAAACTCCCTGTGATTTTTTTCTTTCTGGCATGCTTTCATTTTGAAGAAGACAATAAAAGAAGGCAATTTACAAAGATGCTCCATGTGACGGATGTTTGGAAATTTCCATTAGCAGTTTGTTTTTAATTTGGCGAAGCCGTGAATGGGTGCGCGCAAGCGTTGACACGACCCACACGCGCGCGTGGTTGCTATAATTTGTCGGTTCAATGCGTGACATCGCAGATCTGAGAACGTGTCCTGGATGCTGATTTCGGGCGCAATTCAAACCAGGCTGCTTTCTCCGAATTGAATAACAATTCTTTTACTTCAAACACAAAGCTGTGAGTGCCCAGTTCCAGCATTGATAAGTAGTGCAAACAACAAATAGTCTCCACAACAATCACGATTTGATAGTAAAATAGGTCATTTTCAGTTGCTATGCCACAACAAACTCCACCTCAAATGATTGCTCAAGTAACGCTATAATTTGTTGCGCAAGTCCCCGACTCGCGCACTATGAAACTTTCGTGAGAATGTCATAACTGAAATGTTGCGCAGCCTGAAATGTTGCGCAGCTTACGCAATTTATTGTGGCGCAAGTGGACCTATGCTATTGCGTAAAGTTTTGTGAAATAGGCTGCAGGCCCAGCACAGAGATTCTGGATAGAGCGAAATGCCCTAAAACAGTTGCTTGAGAAGGGCCAGAGAAGTGAAAAGGGTGCGAATGAAAAGGCTCAGGTGGTGTGTGACCACTCTGCAGGATGGTATGGACATGATGCAGAGTGGAGCAGCAAATACAAGAAATACCTCTACCGGAGAAATAGCTTCCCTGCAGGCCGCACACTTGGGAGCGTAGATTCTGTCAGGAAGGGAAAAAAGAAAAACCAATCGACTGTTAAAAAATCAGGTGAAAAGAACACCATGAACTGTACAAAATGGTGGAAAGACCCAATTGTTGATTTAAATTTTTGGTTCAGAGCCAGATAAATTTTAAAAAAACACGGACTGATACAGGTACATCATGTGAGCATTTTAAAGGCTGGCTCATACATGTATACCCGAAATGAAATTTATGCAAATTTGTGATGTCATGGTAAGATTTGCATTGGGAATTTGTACAAGTTGCTCAGTGGACTCTCGTTAATATAATAACTGTCGAAACAAAAGTCAGGTTATAGTGGACATACAGGGCGAGTAAAAAAAAAATGAAACCCAAATGGGGCCCCTATTTTTAATAAAAGTTCTGCATACGTAGCACTTTACAGATCTAGGATATGAAAGCCCAATTAACAAGCTGTCATTTAGTGAAAGACTCTATCAAATCGCTGATGTACTTTTCCAGTTATGGAATTTTGAACACAAACACCGTCTTTTAACCTTGTCCACGGATCACATTAAAGGTACGTGATATTTCAGTAAAACTGATATCATGTCGTATCCTGAAAATGATATCAGAATACTCCCACAAATCTCCCAGGTAGCCAAGTCGAAGGCAGGGCAAGACATAAAGGTACGTGATATTTCAGCAAAACTGAAACCATGTCGTATCCTGAAAACAATACCAGAATACGCCCACAAGTCTCCGGGGTAGCCAAGTCGAAGGCAGGGCAAGACTATAAACTCTTGAATAAATTAAGAATGTTATTTTAACATTGTAAGCAGCAGGTTTTTAAATAAATATTTTGATAAGTGCCAGTTATCATGGTTGTGAGAGTGTTCTGATGTTTTTTTTCTGGATATGTGAATAGTTTTCTTTTTGCTGAAATATCACTTACCTTTATTGTGATCTGTGGACAACGTAAAAAACTGTGTTTTTGTGTTTAAAATTCCGTTCACTGCAAAAGAACATGAGTGATTTGAATCATTTCTTAACTAAAAAGAAAGCTTAATAGTTGGGCTTTCGTATCCTAGATCTTGAACGTGCTACATGCAGAACGTCTTGAAACAAGCGCGAGTGCACAAATAAGCTCTGGCCCGGTTTGGGAATGTCTCCCTCCATATACAAAATAGACGCGCATGCACATCGATCAAAACAATGTCGGTCTTCTGAAAACTTTCAGCAAGAGTGCATTTATCTGACCACGTCATGGCATTTGGTCAATTAAGACAGACAGACCAACCACCAAGTGACATGTAGAAGCTATTGCCAGAGCTTAAAAATAGGAGTTTTTCGGTTTTTTTAATCACTCTGTAAAGCCTCGGTCCCGACCATGCATTCGCAATGTATGTGCACAATGAATTGGAAATTCTGATATATAACAAACAGTTTGGCTAGGTCTGGCTGACTTGATGTTAATTCATCATAACTCCTTTGTGTCCATTACTAAGTACTGGACCAAGTCTGACAAAATCCATCACTGACCCTGCTTCACATAATGCTTCAGGACCAAATCCGCTGAAATCCACCACAAGACCACCACTACTATGGGTGGATTTTGATGGACTTGGTACTCATGGCTTGCCTACCAAAATCCCCAAAATGGGGGAATGGATGTTGATGGATTCGGGGAGGTTAGGGTCAATGGGAGTTGACTGTTCACATTGTAACTCTCGAAAATGTCGCTACAAATCTGGTAAATCTTTTTTTCATTTTGGTTTTAAGTTATTCTATTTGTCAGAATGCCAGTATTTGTACGTGCATGCTGGTAAGGTTCATGGCCATCTGTCAAATTTTCTCAATTTTAAGTACAACACATACACATACATACCTGTACACACACGTTTGTTTATGGTGTAAATTGAGGATTTTCTTTTGTTCCTCTTCCCTTTTCCTTTGTTTGTACTTTCACTTTTTCGCAACAGCTCTCATTGGTTTCGTACATGTTTCGTAATCGAGGTCGTCCTCGATTTGGTTCCTGTCTTTGATTCACCGATGATGTTGCACGTGTGTGTGTGATTTACACCGTAAACAAATGCATGTATACATTGAACAATCATAAAGAATTTCAAACTGTACACTTCTTTCACATTTCCTTACAATAAAAATATTGTAAGGAAAAAAATATATATAAATTAAGGTATCAAAAAGGAAAGCCACAGTATGCCAAAACAAAAGCTTTTCTTGTTGCATTAGGTGTCCAACTATAAATATGCAATGTCAGTTTGGGTAATATTTTACATACATGTAAAAAAGGCAAAAAGGGAGAAATATTTGGCTATTACATTGACAAGGTGTCAATGTTAAATCCGAATTAATACATTTTTGCTCATATTTTTGTCAAAGTACATTCACTTTCACAAGTATCAAAACACCCTAAGACAAATATTTACGTTGAGCAATTGTTTAGAATGCATTGTACTTTAATAATAATATAACCAGATATATGGATGTAACATGCACTGCTGCTCAACTCGTTGGAATGACCCACATGCATGTAACAAATAGGAAATACCATGTACCATGAAGCACATGCAGATATGGAGGGACCTGCTGATGTTATTTTGATGTAGTCATTGGGTCCTGTTAGGCAAAACAAAAAAATAAGTCGGTCTCTAGTCAGCGCGCGCATCGATTTTAACCATGTGCGTCAATCTTTTTTTTTTCCAAAATGTTCCGCGGTAGCTCCAACAGCGCCCTCTATTGCCGCACCTGCTCATTTTTTTTTACCAAAGAGCACCAAGGAATGGGAAATTGTACCAAGGCAAATGATCGAGAGCACCAAGGCAAATTATGGAGGACACCAATGTACATGAGGACACCAAAAAAGCAAAATAGTACCCCACCTTGTCTGTACAATCTAAGCTTGAAGAAAAAAAAAAAAGCCGCGTCCCCGCGTCAATTCCGGAACTTTGGTCGGACCGTGGTCTTATAGTGTACCCCTTATACTGTACAATGTACCAGATTACGTTTCATTCCATGGAAAGATTGTTGTATCAAAAACAAACACAACACTGATGTGAATTGTTCATAATCAAAATGTGAATATTGAAGGAGAACAAGTACGATGAGCATGCACACACTGACAGAAAAACACCAATATTGACAAAAATTTCAAACTGACAGTGAACCCGAGGGCCCCAGGGATCTTGTTTGTTGAGAGGATTAAAAAAACAACAACAAAAAAACCCAGAAAAGTTCCTCAATTCATAAAATGGCTTAGCATCTCATCTGTTGCGATTTCGTTCAAAGAATGGACTACACCATAGCAGACAAAAATTGTATAATGTAATTATGACACATAATGAAATAAAAGCCTGCAGAAAAATGGAGAAGTACTCAAGTACAATTTGGCAGAAAATCAAGTAAACAAAAACAAATCTCAGAAAAACTGTAATGAAGTTAGCTTTACCTTCTCCTGTATCAGTCAGATGGTAAAATAAAAAGAAACCTTTAAGTTAGTGAGTGATCAGAACATTCACAAGATTTATGAGACAATCGACCGACGGATTACTGCAAGAAAGTGTGGCTTCCATTGTTTAGATGCAAGATGCACAACATTTGCAAGCACACATCACAGCTGAATGAATTTCCACTCTACCATCAGCAAACAAGTAAATGATGATCAACTGAAAGGACTACATTTGTACATTCAAACAAAAACTGAAAAGCTGCCATAGTATTAAAAAACAAGATGGTTCTCGAACCATGCGTCTTCGTCTGCTTTTGCGATTATCTTTTAAGAGTAACTAATCAGTATGAAGGTTGCCATGTTGCATATGACCCAAGTTTGGTTCCAATTGGACTTCAACTTTTTCAAATGAGACCAATTTTACATTTTCAGCCTATTTTACAACTTGACCACAGATGATCTTTGCATGTGACCTTTGACATCATTATCATATGAAGGTTGCCATGTTGCATCTATGATTCAAATTTGGTTCCAATTGGGCTTCGCTCGTACCCCCCGCCCTGCAAACAGGACGCTGGGATACTCTGATGAATTCACGCTCTGATTGGTTGGATTTTGCGTGACCAGTGACCTGTGCGTCATCATGGCCATGACTCTGCAAGGTTTAAAACGGCCATTAAGACTGATTCATTACTCTTTTATTCCAGTTTAGAGAAGTTTTTTTTTCGTTGAAAAGCGTAATTATGTAGGAAATTCTGTAAAACTTATCTGTGTTGTAAATTTACAATTCCCGTCACTCGCTCAGGCTCCGTTTTGAATCACGAACGGTCGGATTGAATTATGCGACGCTCAAAATTTTGTCCACATGGTCCGCAATGCAACAGAAATCACATCCGGTATGGAATGTGCGCAATTCTATAGGAGGTTTTCGGATAGCATTTGCGCACATTGTCTAACTGCGGTCTTGAACAGCTGCAGCCAGATGCTTTTATAGGTCATAGGCCACTTCCTTCACAAGATTCTGTGAAGCTCATCAGAGTATCCCAGCGTCCTGTTTGCAGGGCGGCGGGTACGAGCGAACAATTGGGCTTCAACTTTTGAAATTTTACGCAACTTTAACCAAAATACCACATACATACCGGTATAAACCCGCACATGTACATCATATAAACACCAATAAGATTGATTCAATGAGATTGAAGGCTTTGATTGGTGGAGAGTATATAATGTAACTAGAGATAAGTTTTGTGGATGCATCCAAAATAGTGACAAAAAAGGAGGAATCATGTAGTTCTGAATAGAACCAGACTTAACAATTCCAGGGGCCGATTTCACGAAACTCGTCTTATCTTGCGACTCATCTTAGGACTTCAGACGAGTCCCCGCTCTGAGATCGATCTTAGCTAAGACGCGTCTCAGCTTTTCGTAAAATCGGCCCCAGTTCTCCTATTAAAAAGGTCTTTCCTTGAAAAGATCTTCACACAAAACTCGTCTCTTGTTTTTGCTAAACGTTGGATGAGAATGGCAAAGCATTACCTTCTCCTGAAGGATTATTGGAAAGCATAAGAGAGAGAAAAAAGGAGGAAGATTTAGGTTATTATGATCAAGATACCATATAAAAAGTATGCATCAAAAGACATAATGGACACAGATGAAAGCAGCAAGTAACAAAAAGAGAATGTTCATGACCACAAATGAAGGATAACTGCACGTCGGGAAAAACTTTACTGCAAGTACTGGTACAATGAATGTATATTAAGCGTTTTAATGAAATTTGTCGTCAATGGCCAATTTCATGGCAAATGTTCCTACTTATTACAGCACAAGAAAACTGCCTTTTTAAGATCTCAATTTGCTGTTCACACATCTTTAAATTTCCTTTACATACATCAGCTGTTTTATCAATACCACTCACTCTAAGCATGGGGCACTCATGTTCATGGAAAAGGACCCCATATATGTGTGTGTGTGTACTTACTTGTGGTAGTCTTTGACGCAGTATATCTTATGGTCAACATCTATGGTAAACGGTACCCCATCCAAGCACAGGTTGCAGACTACGCAGCGGAAACAGCCAGGGTGGTAGGACTTGCCCATGGCTTGAAGAATCTGTGCAAAACAACACAAATCATTTGGCTCTGCTCAAGCATTCCAGTGTAGAGACTACACTTAGGTCTTCAGCTGAATGGGAAAGGGGGATTTTCGCTGGCCGCAGAGGGCAAGCCGAGTCCTCTTAGTACTTAGCACCGTCGAAATGCAGTTTGAAAAGCCGTCACATCAGTACGCGATTTCAATGAATTTGTTGAACCATGGAACCCTGGTCAGTGTTTTTTTTTAGCGAGTGTTTTTTGCTAGCGCTTTTCTTCAAAATGGTACAATATACATAAAACCGTCACCAACTATGTCCAAAATACCAGCCTATAACATATCTCATTTGTACTTGTTTTGATAATTGGGGGGGGGGGGGGGGGGGGGTGGGCTACTGAATCACCCCCCCCCCCCCCACTTTTTCGTGATGAGAAGGGGGGGGGGGAGTGGATTTGAGGTATTTTTCGAACATCTCAACAACCAAAATGTATTAAATAGCACTGAAAAAGGGAGAAACAAAGTACCGGTACAAAATCTTTTTAAATGCGCCATTTTGATGTAAGCGCAAGTATACATATTGATACATCTATATCCTGAAGAGCGCTCCCTAGTGTAATGTGGTATTCACCCCCACTTGCTGGTAGAACGCCACTGACAACTGGGAGGGACATTCAGACGCCCTGCCAATGGCATATTCAAAAATTAGTCAGGCGTACTTCGCGCCCTATGTGCACAAACCAGTAGGTGCATGATGTGTGCCCCTTATATTGGAGCTCTCAGAAGTGACCATAAAGCGCTACCTGCAGTTCTCACATACTGCGATTCATGTACTTACTGTGTCCATAATGAGGTGCCCGCAAACCGCACATTTCTCCGCTGTTTGTTGAAAGCCAGAATACTGCAATACAGAAATGAATACAAAATGTATACAAGCTGGTAGTCAAGAATCCAATAAAGCACATTTACATGTATTCTTACTGGTAGTGTGTGGTACTGGTGAATTGTACATATAGTACAATGTACATGTAGTACTACATGTCCATGTACATTAAATTAGTTTTTACAAACACTTGAAAATTCAACGTCAAAAGAGGTTTAACACCCGACGTACACGTGTGCAATGTGCAAGAGATCTCCTTTTTTTCTGGCAATTTCGTAAATTTACCATTTTTTTTATGACAAATTTTAGGTTTATTTGTTGAACAGAACAAATACCAGGCAAACATACCAGATAGTCTTCTTCGCAGTAAACATTGCCGTGTACATTGTAGAATGCCTTGCCCCTCAATGTTCTTCCTGCGCAAAGAAAGAAATACACACAAATCTAATGAGTTAAGTTGTACACTTGACCCCATGTGTACGTAGAGGGTCATATATTTTGGATTTTCTACCAGGGTCGAGCTGCTAGCCCTTGGTCCCAAGAAAACTGACTGGCATGCTCAATCCAACAGAATCCAACTGTGCCTTATTTTTCTGTTTGCTGCTGGATCCAACAGAGTCTAACTTGTCGTTATTTACCAGTACCCAACAGAATCCGACTCTGAATGTTTAAAGGTACCGGTATTAGGTGCAATACAAAATAAACAGAGTTTAACAGATTGGTGTTGAAATGTATTAAATATGACTTTTTTTGATACCTCACACAAAGACACACCTATTTCTTTCTGTTTTTATTGACTTCAATATTTTTTTTTTTTAATATTTAGTTGGGTTTCTTTAAAAAAAATTTTTTTTAAATCATTAATGTAAACAACCCTGCTTTTGTCTCAATCATGGGACTTTCATATAGTCTCTCAAATTTGTGTATGACAAGAATAAAACAAGAAAATTGTGCCTTCATTGATATGTGTACTCAGCATAGTATATTTGTATTTTGTGAAAATATACAGAATATATGTAATACACCCCCCCAAAAAAAAAATGTTTAAGCTTAGAAACCAGAATCTTATTTATTCACAAAAAATTATGTATACATTATATAACAGATTTGTCAACAAAATTCCATGTATACAATGTAGCCACATGTAGCAGACCATAAATTCATGCATACATATGTAGACCCGTACAAAGCATACTGGTACCGGTAGAACTAACGTGTACACATTGTACAGTGTACATGCACAATTAAAAAAGTACATACACACCTGTACAGTACATCTACATTGAAAGCACGGATATTATTTTTAATGTAAACAATTTTTTTTTCAGCACAGCTACCCGGAAGCTGCCAAAATCCCATTGAGTAACTTTCCCAGAAGCCATTCATGAACAACAAATACATCCATTCATTACATGTACCGCACTGTGCTTCCTGTATTTAGTGAAGGATGGCTAGCTCTACCTTGAAGGGCCAGCCACTGAATCATGCATGCAGTAAATTCTTTTGAATTGGGCACTTCAATTCCAAAGAAGTGATAGAACAGCAATACTACATGTGTGTAGGGAGTGGGGTCAGGCAAATTTACACACAAGTCCTGGTCCACATGAATCACTTTCAAGTTGCATAGGCCTATTTTGTGTTTTGAAACTTGTTCTGTGATCAAAACAAGTCCTGTATAAAAAGTGGATATGTTTTGGTTCTTCTTTCAATTCTTTCAAGATGTTGCGATAGGTTCAAGCATCTGAAAATAGTACTGGTACATGTGTAATGTAAACGGACAAAGGTTTAAGGGGGGGGGGGATAATTCAATAGTATTGAAAATAATGTACAGGGGTGGTGCCGTCACTTAGTGGTAGTGGGGCAACCCACCTCTCCATTTTTTGGGTTAAATGTTATTTTATCACTCTGATCTGTATCAATAAAAAAAAAAAACAGTGATGGGCCCTTCAACATCTCCAAGGATGCAGTTTTACATGAAATTGCTGCGTGACAATGTTACATCACGGAGCTATAAAACACACTGCCCGAAACAAACCGAAGGGAATGTGGATCGCACATTGCTTGAATGCATGGGAGCATGCAAAATTAAATTACAGTTGTACCCGTGCTTTGTTCGGGCACTGTGCAGTGGATAAGGGCAAATTACAGGCATATGTGTTTGCGCAACTTTTCAAACTGTGTAATTTTTCAAAAACTATTGTCAATCTTGGACGATTTACAGTCTTTGGTAGCAAACAGGGTAAAAATGTAGCTAACAAAATTTCCTCAAGGTCTATATAAATGACGTCAGTGTAAGACAATCAGATTCAAAATTATGGCCTCTCCAAATCAGTATGGACTTTCTTTTTTTGTGGCGTTTAGTACCTGACTTTTTAATACTGTACACAACACATAAAATGCCAATTTATTCCCTTGGTCAATCAAAATTGGTTTGGTATTTTTGCCCAATGTAAACACATTCCTAATTTGGTCGCAGTATGCAGAGAAACCCGAGACATTGAGAAGCAAGTTGAACAAAGAACCTCTGGCATGAGTGGGAGTTGATGAATTGAGATCTGGGTTGTTATCAGTCATCTTGAATGGCGTCAGGTCATTTCAGGTCAAACAAACATCTGAACAAATCCTGGAATCTTTTGTTGGGGGATTGAGACAGACCAGATGGGCTTGCCTGCCTGCACATGCTGAAGTATGTACATAACACTGTTGGTGACCTACTTAATAGCTACATAGGCCTTTTCACACTATCTGTCTTGCCTAACTGTCTGGGATGAGATTGTCAATGTCAATTTATAAAACAATCTGAAAATTGAATGAAATGTCTGAAAGATGCATTTCTCTCTATACTGATAATATGTCTTTCTCTCAGATTCAAAAAGTCTGAAAAATCTCATGCCTGAACTGTGTTGAAATCAACACAGGGTTCAACTTGTCTGGTCTTTTATACTTAGATTTGGCCAATTCAGATTTTGCTTGGTCTGTGCAGTGTGCAGTATGCGCAAAAAAATGTCCATGATATGTAGACAATGGACGGTCAAGATACAAGCTGTTTATATCACGTGCCCGGACACGTCAGGTTTAGACCAATTCATGTTATTTTAATGTGAATTTAGAAACCCAGACTTTGTCAATATGTAAGGCATTTGTACACGTACTGCCAATGAGCTAATCTACCGATTTGGATAGGAAATGGGCATTTTCATTCGACATGTGCACGCAGTTGCTTTTAGCCACGTGCATATTATTATTCTTAACACCCAACCAGTTCTATTTGTGCATTCGCACAGCCACAGTGAAGGACGCAAACGCAATCCATGGTGAGTGGTACGGACAGATACAAGTAGGTTCAAATGTTTTCAAACAGTTGTGTGTACGCGCAACATGGTCCCATCCAGGGTTACACTTTTGTAGAGCACCGGACCCATACATAGAAGCCATGTTGGATTGTTGCTAGTGTGAAAAGGGTCCCCGAAATCCTCTTGTTGGACCTGGGTCCAACAAGGAGATAGGATAGACCCTTATGAGTACGATTATGTCGAGAGCAACTTATTCCATATTTATATTACTGTATATACATTGTACATGTATGCACTCATACATGCTCAATACATTGTACACTCCCACTATTATGATTATGGCTACTTTTATTGATTTCAACTAAGTCCTGTGCAAATTTCCTGTGCAAATAGCAGAGTAAACTTTCCTCTCAGTCAATGGCTACCTGGGCAGAAACTCTAACTGACCCTGGCAGGCTTGATGGTTGAGTGGTAAAGATGTCTGTGACACTAGTTAGCAGGAGGTCGTGGATACATGCGTCCCTGTTACGCCCCAACTATCGCATTGGTCCCAACTATAGTTGGGACTGTCCCAACTATAGTGCGGTAGTTGGGTCGGCCCAACTATAGTTAGGACTGGAGTTGCGCCGGACGCTGTGGCCCAGCTATAGATGGGCCCCACCCATAGCTAATTTCAGTGTTCCAAGTAAAAGTCAGACGTGTGTATAATTTTGTGATGTTCTCTCACAAGCCCTTGAACAACACCAGTTGACTATGCAGTGTTCATGTTGGGCGCAATCTGTTGATCTGCGTGTTCGGTCGATCGTTTTGCGCGATGGGTCGATTCTGTAGGATATCTCGGACTTTACTTACCTTTTTGAAAAACAAATCCTCCAGAGTTGTGAATTAGAAAGAAATGGTGTTCGACTGGTGGGATCAACCATTACTAGCGTCATGATCGACCGATAGCGCAATGCGATCGATCGATGGTGCACATCGACCGAACGCGCCCAAAACTTAAAAAATAACTTTCATGTAGGGCAAAACCTTACATGTACATGTATGTCAAATTTACATACACATGTGGTATAAAACCACAGAATTATGTCATTTGGCATGACATATACCCATTAGGGGTCAACATAATGACTGCAACATGTAGATATGGCTTACCACAGGAACAGCACGTGAAACAGTTGGTGTGGTAGAGGTTCCCCATGGCCTGGCATGCCTGCCCCGCGCCAGTCACTTTCTCCCCACACTTCACGCAGCATCCTGTAGAACAGAAAAACATACAACACCATATGAAAACATGTTGACCCACTTTTAATATTAACCTTCACTCGGGGTACAATGCACAGTAAACACAAGATTGTGTGTTTGTCTCAACATCATAGTCTCAAATACATCATCTGTAATTATTTCATGTATTATTCATGAACACTTTACATGGAAGTGAAATACTGGAAAATGTGTACTGCACATGAAGGCCAGAAACAATCTTTTTAAAGGCATTGAAATTTGAACACCATTTGCAAAAAATGTGATTTTTTTTGGGGGGGGGTCGATTCGAAGAACAATACTTCTGAAGAAGCTTGTTAAGAAAATGAGCACGTTCAAATTTGAGCTCAGTAGATACACTTTTTGAGAAAGCTGTGAAAGTGCATTTTCATATTTTTTGACGCAAAGCATACAACTATAGGTTTCCCTTGAAACTCGAAAACGCGATGGTTAGTCCTAAGTTCTTTTCTTGAAAAATGAAAGTTCCAACATGTCATCCAATTAAAGTTCACAAAAATAGGAAAATACAAATGGTTCTCGGAAATAATAACGGATACATCGGAAATGTACGAGTAGGCTATTTTGTTTCAGTAATAAACAGAAGACAAAGAGCCAGATGTCACACTATTTTTCTCCTGGGATTATACTTCATTTTTGTTAAAGATTCCCTTGCAAGAAAACTCACCAAACTCTTCACCATCTGGGTTTTCAGCTAATTCAATTTCGAGCTGTCTCGTCAACTCTTCCAGTTTACGCTCTGCCTCAGATGGTCCATTTCCTTTGGGCGGGACAACGTCATAACGGAGGAGGGGGTTCTTTCTGGGCAAAGGAGCTGAAGCAATTTCTGCTGTTCCATGCGTCTTTTTGCTTAAAGGCCGGACAGGCTCAGAAGCAAAACCTGTGGTCACCAAAGGCCCCGTTTGTTTCATATTTACTGCGTCACGTTGAGCGATTTTTGCACCATTCACCTTTGTTGGTACATTATTTGAGTGCATTGAAGCAGATTTATTGTTTGTGTACTTTGGTTCTTGAGAATAAGTCTCTGCTTCTGTTGGTGCAATGGAAGACTTTTCAGCTGATGATGATGGTGGTGGACGGTAACCTGAATGTGGCAACGAAGCTTCCTTTGAAACAGAACGTGCATCAGCTCTTTCTGCTTTCTGCACTAGTCTATACCAGTCCTGGTTGTCTGGATTTGGCTGCTGTAGGTCGCTTGATTGGGGTGATTTTTGGGACTCCTGCAGACCCTCCTTGTAATGTTTGTTTTTCCTGTTGCTCTGCCTAACTCTTGCCCATTCTCTGTCTTGTGAGTGACTGGAACCAGTGTCGGCCGAGCTGCTGCTGGTGATGGAGGAACGATTTGAGCCAGACCCTGAGTGGCGAGACGAGAACTGCTGATCAGATGGATAATGGAAGGCAGACTGCAAAGATCTTGACAAATGTGGCTGATGTTCCTGCGATGGGCTCTGTGATATGTCAGGGGCATACACAAAACCCTCTTGATCACTTGACCTGCTGTGAGACCTACGTGAGCTCCGCTGTTGCTGTTTCACACCCGAGGGTTCACGCGAATGTCCCTCACTGGTGATTGCCGATGTTTGCCTGTTGTCCCAGTATTCCCCAGGATTTCCCCTCTGTATCTGCTGGTCAGGCCCGCCACTGTAAGCCTCGTGAATGTACTCGTAATCACTGTATTTCCCTGAAGATGAATCGTGGTTGTTCCGTGATTCTTGCACCTTAGTCGACGCACGATCACTGCGGTAATCGCTGCTTTGATGACTGCCCGCACTAGTGACTAATGACTGAGGCATCCGCGCTCTACCCTCTGAACCCGTGTGCCACCGATCGGCTTGCGGATTGGCCGCGGTGTGTGACCTCAGGCTGCCGTATTTGGGGCCATCTACGTGTGGCGCGAAGCTAGATTTTGTTGACGATTTGCCCGATTCATTTCGATCCTCCTGAGTTTTCCCCTGACGACCATTTCCCGGGTCTTCGGATTCACGATGGTACCGATATGAGCCGTGGATCTGATCATATTCCGGCTCAACTTGTCGTGGTTGTTCCCGACCTTGCTTGGTGTAAACGTTGGGGTTCTGGGACGCGGTACGTTGGTTACCGTGACGATCACTTCCTGTATAGGGGTCCCCACCGCAAGATATTTGGCCAACAAAATCACTGTTTACAGCCCTTTCATCTGCATATCCACCATCAAACCTTTCGTGATCTCTGTTGCTATTTCCTGTCCATTTCCTTTCGGGTTTAACATCCGAGTGATAATCGGAATCTGAATGCGAATCCCCGTGGTCTTTGCCAAGTTTCACATCCTCGGCGAGTTTCAATTTCGATGAACGGTTTCCTGTTTCGTCGTACCGATTTTCTTGGTCCAAATAGCCGGAATCCTGCTGTCCTTGAGACTGTATGATTTCGTTGTAAATCTTGTATCGCCAGGATGCGTCTTCCATTTTTTAAATTCAAAAGGGTGAAGCCATGCGTATCTTATCAAAAGGTGTCAAGAAATAACATTTTTCTTTACAAGTGGTCCAGTGTATAGTACAGTCACGCCGTATTATTATTTACATAGCGCAATAGCGCCAGCTAGCCCACGATGTAGCACAGGTTGTTGATATAACGCATGTTAATGGCGAGGTCGCGGAGCGATATTGTTCATGTTGAATTGAAAGAATTATGCACACACAGTTACATAATGCTTTCTTTTCGTGTGCAACTTTTAAGACATGTTATTTTCATCTTCTTAGAATAGTGTTTGTAACCATCCAAGTTCTCTATTACGCTTTTAAGAATGATATCCAGCCGAACTATTTGATGAAACGGTATATGCGGAAGTATACATATTTCAAATTGCGTTGACCGTCATGAGCTAGCTGGCGGTGGTGGGCGGAGGCGCGCACAAGTCATGGGGCGTTAAATTCTTGAAGTTCTGATGATCGGGAGGTACAGGTTTACAGTTCCGCGTAGAGAGTTTTTGAACTCTGATAACTAATCTAGGACTAAGAACACATCAATCTGCAGTGTCCTTAATTACGTCGACTCAAATTTGCTTGACCACGTGGTCCTCCCAGTAACTTCGCGATTTTCAGGATTTGATCGGCCTCCCAAATAAAAGTTGGCACGTGCCGGCCAATCCCTCATAAGCGGTGATTCCGCGTCCGGGACGCCCTGCCCCGAAACCAACTTGTTATACAAACGTTCTTATTGGTACAACTTTTCATTTGTGGAAACGAGACGCTGATGAATTTTTTTCGACAAAATGGCTGGGGCCGCAAATTAAGGGGGATCCACTCCGTCGCATAATCTTGCTTCAAATGACATCAATTAAAGTTGGTGTCAAGGGTAATGCGTGCTTTTTGAGTGTGGCACCTTGAAAAATAGATTTTCAAATTGAATTGAAAATTTTCTAGTATTAAATTAGTTAAGAGCTTTCCAATGAGACATCGCACATTTTCGGCCCACGACAAGTAATTAATTAATTAAGTTCAACTTTTGAATTAAGAGCGGGACGCTCCTAATTCGTTCTGAATAGTTGTGCGCAATTTCTGAACTGGAGCGCGCCATTTAAAACCACTTTTTAAACTGTATAAAGGCCTGCAAAAAATAAACAAGCACATTTATTTGTTACAGGACATTATATTCCTATAAATATCGTTCGGAAAAGAAAATGAAGTTTCAAAAAAGCATGTATAAATATACAAACTTTAATGCAAGTTATTGTATAGAATCACACAATCTCGATATTTTTCAGGAGTGTGCACTCACAAAATTTTCTGCTTTGTAAACAAGCCGGGCATATAGTTTGGTAAATTTGAGCACAGCTAATTGACTCAATAGTCACTATAGTGACTAGTAATTCCATCCATCCCAAACATGCGCAAAACAAACATAACTGTAAGGATTACAAAACGCACCCACGACCTTATCAGTGTAGGCCTACGTATACATCAGAGAGAATTTTAATCATGCCCATAATTATGATGTCGTTGGATTAACAACCTACATACACAGTGAATGCAGCTTTTTGTATGAAACGCTGCTAAAAACCGGCTTGGTGGCTTTGAAATCTTATCCAATATCGGACATTTATAGATTGATTGCATTAAGTAGCCATCTCAGAGGTGCGTTTTGTTATGTTAATCCTTACCATGGAGCTCCATGTCCTTACCAATGAATGACAAGAGATCTACTCATCATATACGTATGCAAATTCCTGTTGAACAAAAGCGCAAACCATCTCTTGATACAATGCTCATGTACATATTTTTAACATATTATTAGGATAGAATAGAACATCAGATTTTGTAGATTATAAACTTTTTAATTTGCAAATATCCATGATAAAGGTACCACCTTACACTCCAGTTTTTTCAACACAACTCTGTCAAAGATTCTGATAGATTATGTGTGCACCCATATAATTTGCTCAACATGAACGTTCTCTGTCGAAATATACTTTCTACAAAAATAAAAATTCAGCAATATTATAAGGCAGTTCACGTTTTTGTTGCCTCTATTTGAGTTCGACAGCCCGTGTCTTCCATGAAGGGAAACAATATTAAGCAAGATCATTTTTTGAGTTTGCATGATTCGCTTGTTCAGTTTGACATCAGTGCAATTCCTGTTTTAGAAACCATTGATTGAATTAAAATATCCCAGTCACATAATTTTAAAGGCAATTAATACATGATTTCTATTGGCAATGCCTGATGATGAGGCACAAACAAACTAATGATGTACAGTGAAATCTCGATAAATCAAAACCTGTTAACTCAAAACCCTTCTAACTCAAAGTAAAAACTTACTCCCGTCAATTGTTGAATAGAAAATCCATTGGATAACTCAAAACTCTGCTTAACTCAAATTTTGAGCCAATTGCCCTGAGGTTTGACTGATCGAGATTCCACTGTATAGTGATTAATAAAACACATAGTTTAATTACCCCTATGTAAAGTCTCGGTCAACACCTTTGTTCATTAATATAAAATTAATAAGTTCATCAAAAGAATTTCCTTACAGAAAGAGTATAAAAAGAGGTTTTAATAGAAGAAAATGGTTACACTAGCAGACAATTTACAATATTTACAGAGGAACGGGAGGTGTGTATGTAACTCAAAAATGAATCAGTCTTAAATACAGTACCTCAGTTTTTAATTAACTAAATGTATCACATGCTATCTAACAACCCACTAAACAACAATGGTGAATTAAAGACAAGCTGTATATTGGAAAAGAGATTATGACGTTTTAAAAATAGAAAAACAACGCCCACTAGGTCTATGATGACCAGAAAGTGAAGACATTTATGGTATTCCATACTGAATCTGGTGCTGAATTCATAAGCTAATTTCATTAAATGTCAGTAGTTTCTTCTTTTTTCAATGGAAGTTAGCAGCATGTCGGATGAATTAATTTGTCTGACAATTGTTTTTATTCCTAGGTTTTTTTCCCTTCTGAATATGGGCCTTTTCTTGCAAGTAAGTTTGAAGAATACCTTATACCAAACAAAAAAGAGCAAAAGACGATTTTGTTTTAGAATTTAACATATACATTCATTTTAATATTACAACTAGACCAAAATAAGTGAAAAGCACTATCGTTACATGATGCGACCTTTTTGCTTCGGAACATTTACTCCCAGTGCTCTGTGTGGCTGAACTCACACCCACAAAGTGAAAAGCCTCTGAAAAATGGTGGTAGTGGGTGAATTAATCTGCAACAGTAGGCACGGACCGCCCAGTGTGTGGGTTTTTATCACTGACCTCCAGACTAACTGACAATGCACAAGCATTGAAGCAGACAGCCGCCATCTTGGGTCACCCATAACACGCGTAGCAAATACAAGTTCTTATCGGTACATACATTGTAGTTGGTATTGGATTTTTTCTTTAGAGTTAAGGTGGCACAAATAAGAACCCTAGTTTATGATCAGGTTTTGAGATTAACAATTTTCTTCCTAGGACTGGCAAACATCAACAGAACAATTAATTTTTGGTGACAAAAACAAACAACTCGTAACTGAATGTACATGTACTTCCCAGTGTGACGTTTTGGGGATCCAAGATGGCGGATCAGTTGCTTCAAAGTGCATTGGCAAATCAACCTGTAGCAGCCAATCTAGTTATATAGAGGTCAGTGGTTTTTCTCCCTAAGCTTGTATGCATTGCCAACCCATGATTTTCTTCTCACAGCCTCGAGTGTTGGAATACACTTTGCATACAATGTTTGGAATAATAATGTGAAGTTGAAGTTGTTGAGTTAACACGCAGCTCTAGTTGTGTCCATTTTTGCAGGGTTGAAGTTCTCAGGCTTTGAGTGAGAAGACAAGGTTAAGAAACTGCTCATAGCCAATCTCTATCCATCCGTTGCGATTCGTGTCGAAGGCTCTGAAGGAATTGGTCAAAGTCTGAAAACAGTGGGACAAAAATTATATTACAAACTATTACATTCATTTTTAACCCTAACTCCCCGGGCAATTTTGCTAGGATGCAACCTCAAGCCTGCAAAATCCTCCAACTGCCTCCATGCCAAAATTGCATACAGCCTCAATCCTCCAAAATCATCCGTTACTTCTTGAATGTTGTCCTTGGAGGGGTGACCCCTGCTTCAATCCTGCAAAATCCCCTAACAATCACTGGCAATATGTTTGAGGCAAAGTCAGTGACATCCTGGGGCAGTGCGGAGGATTTCAAGTATAATCTAGGCTTAAATTTATGCACGGCTGAACATAAACAACACAAGGTCCGGCCTAAGACCGCGTGGCACAGTGCATCCCCCAAACTCAGCCACACATTTTTTTTCCCATATAGCCTGAATCCTGCAAAATCTTCCATTTTGCAATGAGGACTTTTGAGGATTTGGGAAGGTTTAGGGATAATGAAATAGCAATTGCACTAGAAAACCTTTGACACTTTTGAAGTACATCTGTTTTTACTCCAAGAAAAAATCTCACCTGGAGAGTGATACAACATTGGATGAAGTCGTCAAAAGCAATGCACCCCTTTCCTTGTCGATCAAACTTTCTGATGAGAATGCCATAGAAACGGTCAGAAAGCCGATAACCTAAAAAGAAGGGAAAGAAATCCTACTGTGTAAAGGTCTAATTTTCGCACCATCTGTGAACTGTTCTGTCAACACCAGATAATTCTGCGCAGAACTGCAAATGAGATAACATCAACAATAACTTGGGGGGGGTTCCAATAATTTTTTATTTATTTATTAATTTTTTTATTTATTAATTTTTTTTTTTTTTTTTTTTAAATTGGTGATCCTAAATATGTCTTAACCCTAACCCCTAGCCCTTTTTGTCTAGGAGCCAACATCAATCCTGCAAATCTCCCCACCCTCTCTCCACCCAGGAGTACCGGCATTAGCTGGGGAGTAACCTGCGATGGGTCCAGGGAAGGTAGAAATATTCTAAGTCGTTTCACGTTACTGAAACCAGAGATAAACGCCGGCCTGATGGGCCACATTGGCTCGTGACAGATTTTACTTTCCAGCTGTAGATGCCCTATATACAACAAAGTAGTTTTTTTTTCTTTTAAAGAGGTTGTGGAATGCTCGAAGACATTTCCGTCATTTTTCGGGTATATGTAGCCTAAGGTGTGATGAAATAAAAACGACTATTGTTTCTGTCATAAAATGAGTACCAAAGGTACTTTTGAGAGCTGTTTTTCAAGTCCTGTCATGCCTGTTTCGACCCGAACGTGCAATTTGTGTAAAAGTCGTCGTTGCGGGCAGCAAACAAAACACAGTAAATCGTGACGTAATAAACAGGAATCTTGATGCAGAGTAGCATAAACGAGTCCTGTTTATTACGTCACGATTTACTGTGTTTTGTTTGCTGCCCGCAACGACGACTTTTACACAGATTGCACGTTAGGGTCGAAACAGGACCTGAAAAATAGCTCTCAAAAGTACCCTTTGTACTCATTTCATGACAGAAACAATAGTCGTTTTTATTTCATCACACCTTAGGCTACATATACCCAAAAAATGACGGAAATGTCTTCGAGCATTCCACAACCTCTTTAAAAAATATAACAAACACATTGAAAATCTGTTAGGAGAGTACATAACAATTTTCAGAAGAGCAGTCTGCCTGAACGTACCAAAGCTTGTAACGGCAGTCTGTAGTTCTCTTTGATCGATGGTTCCTGAGTTGTCCCGGTCGTAGCTTCGGAAGGTGTTCTGCCAGTCTGTGATGTACTTCCATAAGGCGCCAAACTCCTGAAAGCTTATGTTTCCACTCTGGTCTCTGTCAAACATGCCAATCATCATACGGACCGTTTCAGGGTTGAACGGTGTCCATGTCCCTGTCAAACAATAACAATGTCTAGCAATCATGCTGGATTTCTGATGTCAAGGGCACATAGGAAACTACCCGGAAAACACACCTACCGACTTAAAGGTATTATATAACCGACACACAGATCCTTGTCATTTGTTTGGTGGAACTCGCATCACGTGACATCCGTTATCACTCATCAAAACCGTATATTTGAAACCAACCTTAAACAAAAATTAAGCCTTTTATTTCTTGTGACACAGGCAACTGGTACATCCCCCCATTTGCTCCATGGTCTACTTGCTAGCAGTTCTTGGTACATGTATGTGAACAGTCCGCCCATTCGACAAAAATGGGCATTCCACAAGAAAGGACAAGTCAAGAATATCAACAATTACAGTCCAGACCTTGAACTTATTATTTTTTACCATTTGACAAGGCTTGTTGTAGTTCATTGGCAGAAATGGCTCCACTTCTGTCCTTGTCAACCCTGTAAATGTTTCATTTAAGAAAGTGAACAAGAAAAGAACTGAACATTCAAAATTAAAAAGCATGATAGTGTAGACATGTTTGAATCATTTAATTTGACACCTTGGGGATTTTTATAATTCAAACTTGAGATGCGCCATGCAATAGGTCACAATTTTAACAATGTTTTATCAACCAATAGCTTTGACCCATACTATTACTGCATTGAATGTTGAAGTAAGACAAAACAAAACACATGCCAATCGTTATGGTGCATAGACATTTCCTGCTGTTTAACAAAGAGGAAATGCTAAATACAATGCAAATAAATTCATTTTGTGAAGTTATCTAGGCCATGATAATGAAATATTTAATTTTCGTCTGAAAAAGTCTGGAAAGGCATGAGGCTTGATTAATTTTTCATTACTCATTATTTCTATTTTTTTTTTTAACATTTAAGCATTTAAGAACTTAAAAGTTTAGATTGACATGATTAACAAATTTATAGAACTTGAAGTTTTGATAATAATAATATGGATTAAAAAATTTTTTTAAGCATAAATATTGACATTTTTACAACTGTCAATCATTTTTGAATTTGCTTTTAATTTTGTGTAGGGCCCCTATAATGTGTTTTTTTTTTAAGAGGCCTAATCATTTCCCTAATATTATTGGGCGCAATTGGTTGATGTGCGTGATCGGTCGATTGCGTTGCGCTATCACCAGTCGATCATGACGCTATTGAGTATTGGTCCATCGCACTGCCACCAATCAAAAACCTTTTCTTTCTAATTCACGGCTCATGAGGATTGTTTTTAAAAAGGTATTGCTATTAGTTAATAGTCCGAGATATCCTAAAGAATCGACCCATCGTGCAATGCGATCAACCAATATTCCTCAGATTGACCGATCGTGCCCAACAATTACATGTGCATGCTTTTTGCCTAATTTCACAGGGGATGGGGGTGGGGTCGCCGTAATAAAAACCATGCTCCATAGGAAAGCGCACAAAGTACCCCAGATAGTTGTGTAAAAAAAATATCGCAACCGGGCCCTACACTTCACGATCGCGGCCAACATGATTCGTACGAAATGAAATGATGAATGACATTGACAGGCACGTTCACACAAGTCATGCAAGTTGAGGGCGGGGTTGGCAAGTCTGACTCAAGACCGACAAAATAATGTTCGATAACGTCAACAGGATCAAAATATAAAGATAGATAAAGGTTTTATTGTTAACCAAACTCACTTGCTGAAAACATTCCACAAAAACTGCTGATCTTGGACTGCCATTTTTCCAGTTATTACTTGCGAAGTTGCGTGTTTGACTGTCTGTGACTGTGTGCGTTTACTGTGAAAGAAGAAGAATAGTCAGGCACCAACCTTCTTCACTACACAATCGTAATGGATTCCGTCTGGCTATTTGACATTAGCCGGGCACCAAAGATTGGAGACAACTACATGAAATAAGACACTAGGACGTCTAGGTGTTTGACATATGGTAAACAAACGATTTCGGCTTGGCTTTCGCTTTTGTGACCGCTCTTTTCGTTTTCGAGCCTAAATGTCCCAATTCTGTTGTCGATTTTCTTTTTGATGATGCTACTACAATCATCAAAGCCTTTTCACCGTTACGGATTTTAAATGGATGAATTATCATCACGTATAAGGTCAATAACAGTGCGCGAAGTATCACTGTTCGCGCTGTGTTGCGTGGCCACGTACTTGCTTCGTATTCGACAGAGTTACGGCCTTGGCCCGGCATGGCGATTTGAAGCAGATCAGTCGCACTTCGAAAATGGGCGGTATGCGCAGTTATGGGAAACTCTGTGAGTATGTTGGGTGCGATCGGTGGATCTTTCGCTTGGCCTCGCAGAAATGCATTTACATGATTGGCCGATCATGCTGCATCACTCAGTCGTTCATCTTTTCTTTTTCGCAGTGGCTATCGTTACACTGCAGTAGCCGTAACGCAATTTTCAATTCCTATCGTTACGGAACTGTCTGGTTTCCTCACAACAAGATCTTTGGCAGTTGGAACCAGACTATCATTCAACTGAATGGACTTTATTTCCCTTAAACAAAAAACCGCAAAATCCATGAATTACGAAGACGGAAATGAAACCTACTTAAATAAAAAGAACTATTCAATTAAAGACATGAAAGTATTAAGAAAATTACTTTAAAAACAAATAATTAAAAGAAAACTATTTAAAAGAAAAAAAGGAAAAAGGAAACAAAATGCAAAAAATCAACAAAATCAAAAACAAAATCAACTTTGCTTAAAGTTCCTGTTGGATGCAAGCTAGCCAATCTTGATAAAGTGCATTCCTGTGCAATAAAATCAGAAAATCACCCCAAAATAAATTTCTCTGCTAACTTTGTAATGGATAGGTAAATTATACTTAAGATTTATGAACAGGAATGTTTAGAAGTTGTAGAACTTCATGAAATTTCACTTACTGTGAAATTTCAGGTAAAACTTTTGCTCTAGCAAGGCGCTAGAGGCAAAAAATCAAAGTGTACCTCGTTAGAGGCCGTGCCACGTTAGGGGACATCAACAATACTACACAGCTTGGGATTAGACAGTGGTTCTGGATGCTGCCATTATTGGGCCAGATCGCTTGGAACACCTTATTAAAAGCCCTTGAGGATATTCCTTCAGAATCTATTTGGTAAATATTTCCAGTTAGTAAAGGCTGGGAATATGAACAGCTTCACTTTTATCTTTTATTTATAATTCACAACTACTTGCAATTGCTTGTTTTTTCTTCCTGCAGACCCTCTCCAGTTATTGCGGATGTAGAAAGTGATGGTTTGAATGGTAAGGATTTCAAAATGCACACATGTACTACATGTTGTATTAAGAATCTCTTTGTATTGATCAGTATATAGTGTGGAGAATATATTATTGGGCTGCTTAATGTTTTCAGCAGATTTAACACATGAAAAAAAAGCATTTGCTTTTCCCAGTGGCGGGGGAGGAGGGGGGGGGGGGATGGGCCTCATTTCGCCCTTCTCTGTGTTTTTCATTTCAGTGAAAGTTACACCCTTGTCTCTACCAGTTCTGTTTCCTGTACCATGGCAACTGCACTGTGTGTATGCCTTCCCTATGATTGAAAGCTATTATACAATCCTGTAATTTCCAGAGACAGTAGACTAGAGAACTTATGTTTTATGTTTACCCAGATATAGGGCCTACAGTACTCTACTTTGAGACCTGCCAAGAGTAGGGGGGGGGGGGAGACAGCCCCCATGCCCAAGTGGAAAAAGTGCCCCCCCCCCCTCCCGGTTCACGCAAATGCATGAAAATATTTTCAGTGAATAGCCAGCCTTGTTAGACTTCCCTTTTTGCTCTTGTTAGTTTCAGCTAAAGTGACTGATTTCATCCCCCTATATATATATCAGAACTCTTGGTCGCTACCTCGCAGCCTCATCTACAGCTGCTTAAGATCCCCTCTCAGTCCACGGGTGTGCTGCCGTATATGACGCTTCAAAAGGAAGTCACTCTGGTAACGAGAGAAGCAGCCCTCGACAGCCGACAACCAAAGGCACTGGCAACTGGCTACCTAGATCCCTTCCGGTCCATGCTGCAGATTCGGGCGCAGGTGGGCTACCATGATTTATTCTTTCATTGGAAAAAAATGTTGCAACCTGATGATACTTTCGAAAGAGAAAAAAGACATTTTTTTTGCTTACCTTGTACCTCAGAGAGTATACTTTCATGTGAGAAGTATAAAGAATTTGTTGACAAAGTCTTTAAGAGAGATTTGTAGGCGAATATGTGGCCAACTTAGTGATTTTTTGCATGTCACTGCACTGCATGTTTCCACCGCATCGGTTGAGGGCCTAAAAATTCACTAAGTTGGCCACACATTCGCCTGCAAATCTCTCTTAAAGACTTTGTCAACAAATTCCTTACAGTTCTCACATGAAAGTATACTGTCTGAGGTACAAGATAAGCTGTACAAGATAAGCTTTCTGTTTCGAAAGTAGCGTCAGGATGCAGCATTCTTTCCCTTTCATTCATAAATACCTTAGACACTTTACCCATTCCTATTGGGTGAGAGCCTGTTACATGGGTGCATTGATTTAATCCATTGATAAAACACCAACTGGTTTAAAACAGTTCCTTTTTTTGTTCTGCGACAATCTCCATATTAAAGTGCACCAATCTCTATATTAAAAGGAGAGTTTTAGCACTTCACGCGCAAGGCACATACAATGGACATGGCAAAAGGGGTGTTTCACAAACTTGAGGAAAAATTGTTGAACAAAATCATTGGAATATTGTGCATGTTTTTTTTACCGAAAGGTATTTATGAATGTGCTATATTTATGCTATTAAACAAGAATGTTTAAAACTGCTAGGGGCCAGGTTGCGGACAATGGCCCTCGCCTTCAGCTTAAGCCATTATCGGCGTCAAACTCCTGGCCAGTTTTAAAACATACTGTTTAAACTCAGCCGAGCACAAATAATTATTCCCTTTATTATACCATTAGTCACTGTCTCACCCTAAACCATTGCCAAGTTCGGGCAAGGACCATTAGTCGTCTAGTGGTTGATTTGTGACGTACCTCACGCCTGCGCACTGATAGCAACGTGCGAACGTCTCTAGTCAAACGCTGGTCAAAATGTCATCGTAAAACTTCTGGGTCCTGGGCAATTGGTTACCAGCGATGCAACCAGCCCCAGTAGGTTGGTTCCAAATAGTCGACTAGCGTAGTCAACCACCGTCAACTAGACAGAGTTCTGGCTAACTTTAGTCGAACTATGGTTAACCATTGGTTAACTATAGTCCTTGTGCGAACTTGGCCCATGCTGCCTATCACTCCCTGTAGCGCCCAAAACCGCCCGCACTCTCAATGGTGTTATGGGTTCATCAAGGAATAAACACAATGTAATACAGGGTGAGTCAAAAAACATGAAACCCAAATGTCGGGACTATTGTTTTAGTGAAGTTCTAAATGTAGCACTTTCAAAATGTAGGATATGAAAGCTCAATTCATAAGCTTTATTTTAGTACAAGAATCATTCAAATCAGTCATGTACATATCAAGTTACAGACTTGAACTTTTAAAAAAAAAAACTCTTGTGTTCTTTCAACAAAACGAAAACAAATCACATAGGGATGTGTGTGAATTGTTTTCGGTTTGCTGACAGAACACACACATTTCGTGTGATCAGTGGACAGAACTTTAAAACGGTGGTTGTGTTAAAAAGTCCGTAACTTGAAAAGTACATAAGAGATTTGAATGATTCTTGTACTAAAAGAAAGCTTATGAGTTGTGCTTTCATATCCTAGATTTTGAAAGTGCTACATGCAGAACTTCACTAAAACAATAGTCCCGACATATGGGTTTTGTGTTTTTTACTCACCCTTTTATATAATTTTGATAATGATTTGTATTTGAATTTAAACAATTTTGTCCTTTCATTAGATTTATAGAAATTATGCGAGAGAAAATGCATATTTTTTAAGGTAATTTGTAATTGAATCTTGTGTTTGTAATAGGTCATAGTGGTTGTAACAGCTGACTGGACGGTTTTATGCTTTGACCATAACTTGAATCTTGTATGGGAAACTCAGCTCATGAGACTCCATGACAGTAGATACTACATCCGGTAAGATCAATGCAAGATTGAAACAAATTATTAAAATGGAATTTACCTTTCAGAACAAAATCTATATTTTGCCAAATTTAAGCATTTCAAGAATTTTAAACAATTAACGAATTCTGAATTTAACTGATTGTGAACGTTCAGTAAAAAATTATGCTTAAATTAGGCAGAAAATTTTGGACTGAAAAACTTGGTTCATCCATATCAAATTGATTTTAAAGTATGTACACTGCACTTCTGATAAAGATGAGGCATTTTTTTTATAACAATAATAGTTGTTAGTTATAGAAAATCTTTTAGTCAGTGTCTTATTTGTAAGACACCAAAAATGTAGTAAAGGGGTCAGTATAAATGTCACGATATTCCCATAAATGTCATTTGGTTATGAGTCGGCATTTGGTAAGAATGTTGCCTCTTGAAAGTATCCGATGCTCTGCGCCCCTCAAGTATTTAAAACGACATATCCCACACTTCTACTTCTACTTCTTCTTCTACAGCAGTACTCAGCAACTTCCAATAGTTTGGATGTAGTGTCGAGGAATACTTGATGTACATATACAGTGAGGGTGCCTTTCAGTGCAGATATATACAGGGTGCAAGTAAAAACATCATGAAATTATGGACAGGCTGTTGCTACTGCTCCCCTAAACACCTCATAAGTTGGTGAGGATAAGGTGCTTTCAGGGAGAGCATTCCATCAGGCGACTGTGCGGGGGAAAAATGAGTAGCGGTATAGTTGGCGATGAGCTGGAATGGTTTGGTACTTATTAGGATGATAAGATCTCGTTGATGAAGGAACCGTTGAAGTGTGGTAGAGTTCAGGGTTGACTGCCACGAGATGGCGTCGGATCTTGTACATCATCAGGAGACTTTAAGTTTTTTTCCTTTTTCTTCAATCGAAGCCCACAGGAATTCTTGCAGAATAGCAGATACACTCTCCCGCCGACGATATCTGTCAAGTACAAACCTTGCGGCTTGACGTTGGATGTTTTCAATCCTCGAGGTGTCTTTCTTGGAGTACGGATTCCATATGGCACAGCAGTATTCAAGGTGTGGGCGAACCAACGTGAGATAGGCTTGTTCTTTGAGCTTGGGCGAAACACCTGAGTAGCTCAGGTTACGTCGGATAAGTCCCAGGATCCTGTTGGCTCTGGAAGTGACTTAATGAATGTGATTGGACCAGGACATGTTGGTGGAGAGTGTCAAACCGAGGTATGGGTAGTCTGCTACTGATGGGAGGGTGCATTTTCCCAGGTGATATGTCACGCACAGCACAGCAGTCACTAATTGTTAAATATTGACAGGTTCTATTGGCCTTGAACAACAGAGTAATCTGTTTTTGAGAATTTGTTTTGCCCGATCACGATACGTGCGATTGAACAGACAATAGATGAACACATTGCAAATACTGTTGGTTAGGTACAGCCATAAAACAACAAACTGAAGCCAGTGTGGCATTTCAGTGTTTGTGTAAGACTCAACAGTTCTGGCAATAAGGAGTGGAGTGTAACAGACAGCGAAAGCCAGAGTGACGACGACAAACGTCTTCAGAGCTTTGTTGTCCTGGGTGTTGTTTTTGTTGTTGGGATCGTTCTGGTTGATTCGTTTCTCATGCTCTCGGCTGATCTTAATGATGCGATAGTATATGCACAAAATTACAAACATTGGAATTACATCACAGATTAGAAGAAAGAAAATGTTTATTCCTGCGGAGGTATTTGCATGAAAACAAACAGCAGCAGCTTCAAAATACTCCACAGGTTCTCCTAAAATGGTTGAAATGGCTATTTGAAAACAGAGCATTACAGTTGTTGCCAGAACTATACCAACGATAATACGACGTCGGGTGCACCAAATAGGAAACTTGTACGGCCTGGTGACGGCTATGTAGCGCTCAACATTTAAACAGATGAGAGAAAACTCGGACAAAGACACAACTAGTGTTGTCATGTAGCTGAATGCATAACAAGCTACTTCTCTGAAGGGCCAACGGGTCAGGGCTGACGCAACAACAGAAAACGGCGTTAAACATCCGACCATGAGGTCAGCTACTGCCAAAGTTGTCATCAAGGTCTTAGTACTGTCTGCCAAGTCTGGTACGCGACGAGTCACGACGATAGAAAGAATGTTTCCAGCTATGATCAGCAATCCAAGGAAGCTGATGAAACAAGTACGGAAGGCAACAAGGAGTGGGGACATGCCCAAAGGATCTGTCGATGAATCATTCATTTTTGCCAAAGAGTGAATCTTTTCAACCAAATTGCAGTTAATCTTGACTTTAGCTGGAGTATAGAAGCAGTATACCAAATAGTTGAATGGCTAGCTGGTCTTACTCCAAACTGAAAGGAAAATTATTTTTTTTTTACAAAAATCACTTGGTTAGAGTCACCATCGATTCTTGTCCGTGGCAGTAACAAGACTGTGAAAGCTTCTCTCACACCATCTGGGTCTGTGTTGAATGCGCAGAATCCTAATTGGTTCTGTTTTGTTGGAACAAGAGTCCCTTGTACGTGCCGTACATGGTTGGTGGTTTCATCAACTGAACTGCAAACCACTCTATCTAATGGCCTTGTATCAACAAGTACCAAAGTATCATCCTGTCCTGTGTTTTATATAGGGTGCAATTCTTTTGATTGAAAGTTGTTGTATGCCTCCCACTTTTGAATTGTGTTCAATTTGTGTACACTACTCTTCATGTGTTACTGTACTGACACATGATATTGCAACCTTATTATTTTGGGCGTTCGGTGGTGCGTGGCGTTAACGTGTTTTAAAAATTAACTATATATTTGTTATTGTACCAAAAGAATATAATTAAAACAACCTTTGATTATTAACTGGTTGATGATATGATGGAAACTCTAGTCTGCCTGACCAATCCAGTTGCTTCATCAGGACAGTGATGAGTGAGAGATCTTATAGGCATAAGCATGTCTGGTAACGCCTACCCCCTCCCCCTGAAAAAGGGGGGGGAAAACAGGCCTACGTGTACCTTTCAATGCGTGTGAACCAAAATTACTTTTAAAATGTCCGGAAGTTCCTTGGAGGAAGATCCTGCTGGAATGCAAGTGTCAGTCTCCCTAACTTGTATGTACAATTTCAAATGGCAGAATATTTGTCATTGGCCCCAATAATCTCAAATGTTTAGCAATACTGCAGTACACTCATTGTCCATTTCATGTCCAATTTTATAATCCATTAAGTCCCAGTCACACGTTTGGAGCTACGAATATCGAATATCCACTGTTTACCAAGAATCAATCGATCGCGATGAACCATTGAGATTCGCGGAGAAATTGACTTTCTAAGAATGCACTACGGTTTCAGGACGGATAGACACGACTGTCCTTCGGTTTCTCTACGAATACACCACGGTTTGTCAAGAATATGGACAGATTGGTGAGGAATATCGATGGTATTCCTAAGAAGAATGACGTTAAAGCCACGGTTGTCTGTGATTGGTTCTCCTATGAATAAAGCATAGATATACATTGTACAACCTTAGCAGAACCCTAGCACATCCGGGCATATCCATAGGACATTTGTAGCGAATTCGTAGAGATTTCTACTACGAATGAGCTATGAATATCCAAGAATATACATTTATAAATAGCCACGAATAACACTATGAATCAGTACGGTTGTCCTACGGATGTCCCACTTTTGCACTACGGATTGATTTTCGTGATGTTTCACCATGGAAATTTTGAACAGTTAAAAACTTCTGTAGTCACTCCACGAATACCCAAGGGAAATGACAGATAACCACGGATGTACTAAGGATGAAAACAGTACTCTGAAAGGTACTCAAGAATTTCAAACCATGGAGATCAGTAGCTCAAAACCGTAAATGTGTGACTGGGGCATTAGACTATGATATAAACCTCGCCCCCGCCCCCGCTATTAATGCACTTTTAATTAACCCAAACCCCAGTGCAAGCTACAATCCTGGCCAATATGGTTGGGACACTTGGAAATAACCTTAGCCTTCCACGGTCACCCACTCCCCCGGTCAATGTTGTTCTCTCCAGCTGATGGAGCACACAACGCGCAATGAGAGACAACATTATAAGGAGGCCAGGGGGTTGGAGGCCCAGCGAGATTTGGCCAGGATTGTGGTTGTGTTGTCAGTTTCGTGTTTTTGTCGTAACGACTTTGTCCGCAGCAATTTGTGTGTGAACTAACAAATAAGCTTGATAACTCGCATGACTTTGTCATGTAAATGTAAATGCGCTCATTGATTTGTGTGTATATATTAAAACCCGCGACATTATCGCGCAACAAATGTGTAAATGAAATTGACCTATCGCGGTAGAATCGCGTCAACGCAGCTTGTGAAGTATTGTCCAATTTATGTACAAATGGACGCGGAGCGCGCAAAATCTGAGACAAACAAAATTTGGTGTATAAGAACTCCATAGGGTTGTCTAAGGGGCGTGGCTAACTCGCAAACGGGGATAGGTCAATTCAGGGAACACGATCAAAAATTGCTTACTCGTGAATAAGGTCTATACCAGTGCATTTGAAGAAATTCAAACTTAGTAGTGTACATTTTTTTAAACATTTATTTGACAGAGAGATCTCAGTAGTTGTGACAAGTCACAACATCAAGCCCGATGACGGAGGATTGGTTATTGTCGGAGCTAGTCTGCAGGACAGACATCACAAAGAGGCTAACCTTCAGTGAGTGACCACAATACTCTCTATCTGTACTGGGTGAATCCTTCAGGTTAATCATCATTTCATACGCAAAACTCCATGTTTCTAAACAATTTAAGACCCTGAGGATCAGGTTGGCATTGTGGTACTTTTTCCTTGCCTTCAACCGCTGTGACCCAAGTGACTGGTGCAATTTTGTTTACATGTACCTTCTTCAGATATGAGGAAAGTTTCATGTCTTGGAAATTTGATGAATTCTAGGTACTCTCCTTGCCGCGACAGCGCACGATTGGATTTCTCTGTAGTTGCTTAAATTCCCGAGTCTGGGGAAAAATTCCTGAACCGAAGTTCTCATGACTAGAATATCATCCAGACAGAAGATGCAACAAATGTCTTTTTCTCGTAGTGTTGATTGTTTGCAAATTTTCTCGATTTAATGCCCAGACAAAAAGACAGGCATGCAAATTGGTAAATAACACGCTGTCTAATTGACCTAGGCATGATCACAGACAGAGAGAAAGCCACGCCCACAAGGAGGAGGAAGAATGGCAGGGAAATCAGGATGAAGATGAAGGAGACGAAGAAGACAAAGAAGAAAAGGTAAATCTTGCATGGAAATTTTCCTTTGTAGGTCGTTTTAAATTTGGCAAAGCCATGAATGAGTGCACGCAAGCGTTGACACGACGCACACGGGCGCACCGTTGCTATTATTCGTCAGTTCAGTGCGTGACATCGCGTAGCTGCAATCAACTGAATGAGAATGTGTCCCGGACGCTCATTTCGAGTGCAATTCAAAGCATGACTCAGCAACTTTGAATTGAAATCGAGATCCTAGAATATTGTTTTCTCGCAATATACTGCATTCACAGAGCTAAAACTTCATCAGGTTGTTTAGGCCACAAAAAAAAAGTCTCCGGTTTCTGGTATGGAGCTTGCCCCAAAAGTGGTGCGGCGACGCGGCTTTTTTTTTTTTTTACCTGTTTTTTTTTTTTTTTTGGCTTCAAATGTCGGCTGATGACTGCAAATGGTGCCCGACTAAACTTAGTGCAAATATATGGGAGTCCAGAGAGGCCACATAAAGCTTATTCTCGATCATAACCCCATCACGTTAAAATTGTGCAGCAGCAGGATTCCAGTCAAACCAGTGAGTTTGGCGGTTTTGAGACATCATCTTGTATTGAAAAAAAACCTTTTTCATTTTGCCGACGCGCATGGCTACGGCGACGCGCGCGCATACCAGAAACCGGAACCTTTTTTTTTTTGGCCTTAAGCATCTGTCTTTACATTTTTAGCACTTTCGTTGCTTCAAAAAAAAAAACCACACAAATGACTAATGATTTACCCTACCTTTAAAACTCCTAGCATGTATGGATCTTTCATAGAGTAGTTTGAAATCTATTTTTATCGTGCAAACTTTTTAATACAGGAAACTGGGCCTGTTGTCAACCATTTTTCCACCTTTGCCCTGACTGGACGCAATGGAACAATCCGATGGCATCATCTACCAGGGGACTTTGAGGAACGAAGAACCAACCAGGAGGTAAGGGCTACACAAAGTCAAGCTTGCATCTAGTGGTGGAATTAAAGTCCGGATTTTTTTAAATAAAATTTGGTTTAAAGGGAATATACAACATTTGCAAACATCGAAAAATAAAACTACCAAGTTTTTACGAAATACCTTACTAGGATGTTGGTAAATGACAGTCTCAAGCATCTTGTAAAATTATGGCACCTGGTGTGAAGTCATATTCAAGAAAAAGGTATTTTTGTATACATTTCCAACGGTGGTCGGCCGACCAGCGTTGGAAAAACCTAACTATTTTGCAACTACTGCTCCAAATTGACCATTTTTTCAGTCCAAATTTTGTTTGCTATCGGTTACATGTTCATGAACGGGTGCAGGCCAGCTAGACTGGTTCCCTTGCCTTACAATTTTCCATCATCTATAAATTGATCAATTTTATCTTTTGTGGAGTCAGGGAACCAGACTACTTGAACATTTTTGGCAAAAAGGAACTAGACTATTTTTCCTTCCAGTCTCCTTTTGGTTACGTTGATTTGAATGGGAAAAAAATAACGATGGCCGCAACATGATAATGGTCTTGAGTCTGAACATTGTAAATAGTGAAAAAGTATTCTTAAAAAAATCATACATGTCTTCTTTCCCAATATCTGTAACTAGGATTTATTTTCAGCCCATCATTTCAAACTTGCCCTACGCAAGGGGTTGAGTCATGCTGGGGAGCAGCTCTGGAGCCATTACAGCAAAGCCATCCTGAACAACCTGGTAAGTACCAATTGCTCACAGAGAGACAACTCTTTGGGTAACAGACTCTACTCCAGTCATACTTTTTCCAGCAAGCTTTTATTTTTTAGAAGGACCTACTACTACTGTGCATTTTAGAATAACAATTGTTTTTATTATTCTAACATGCGGTTGAGCGCAATGCGCTGATCAAGGTCAACATGCTGCAGCCTGGCCTCAATTGCCCTCCGATCGGGGTTTGTGTGCACCTTTGCCTGTCGTTAATTGTCAAAGGGCTTACATGAAATTATTTGACCGATATTTGGCTGATATTTGACCGATTTTTAAAGTAGAAATTCAAGCTAATTTTCCTCATTTAGGGGTGGCATGGGTGGTTTGTGCGTAAAGCGCTTGCCTCTCACCAAGGTGACCACGGTTCGAATCCTGGCCACGGATCACGTGAGTAGAGTTGTGCGTTGGTTCTCTTTTGTGCCACGAGGGTTTTCCTCCGGGCCCTCCGGTTTTCCTCCCTCCGGAAAAATCAAACACTTTCGATCTCAGGCAGTGCTCCGTGGTCATATATGGGTCGATGTGGCTGGCTGCCATAGGCGCCTTTACGTACCAGCGGCCCGACCATGTTGTAGCCGCGTCCTTCGCAATTCAGCATACCAGCTGCGAGTAAGGATGATTAGCCTCCCAAATTACTTTATTAAACTCTCACAGCATGCGGGAAAGTGGCTTTTGACAAAAGTGTGGCATTTGTAAAAACAACAACCACACATATTAAAACATTTTAAAGAACATCATGAACTTTTTCATCATTCCAAAAGAGTGCCCACATTTTTCGAATATTTTGCTAGAAAATATATGCTGTTTCGATATTCGGTGGCTAGGGGCCTGGATGCCGATAAAAACATGAAGTAAAATAGTAGTGCATGCAGTTCATACACCACAATTTTACTTCATGTTTTGTGAGACACCACTCTGCCATGTCTACGGCATGTGCCTCGCATGCGTAGTGCTGAAAATCTCTTTATATGGAAATTGGCGTGTTCGTGCACGATGTAGCGCAGAACACAGCGGCGTTTTTCCGGTGCTTTAAAACCACCCATGTGACGGGCTCTCGACCAAAAGGAATTGGTTAACTGTCTCAGGTATTTATGAATTGTTACTTTAATAATTCAAATAACAAGAACACCCTCTAAGATGGCTGCTAAACTCTAGGTGTATGGACTGCATGCACTAGTGCCCCCTCAACAACCCCCTCAAGGGTTACAGAGGAAGAGTTGGGGGAGACCACTGGGTAGTATATTCTACGCTCAGGTGAAGAGGCTTCAAGTCTGTGCACATAACTAGCACACGTACTGTTAGCCCAGGTTGGACTCCATTGTGTACACGCAACGGAGTCCAGGGTATGAATCTCTCTTGCCATAGCGAAAAAAATTATAACAAATTTTTTTCATATTTTTACCCAACAGAGGAAGCTGAAATTTCGCTTACATATTCTTTGTGTCCAGAATTGTGCCAAAGGCAAAAGGCAAATATGTCTGCGGGCGGCGTGTTTACCGAAAATAAACCGCAATTCCACGCTTTCGTTGAAAACATTTTCAGTACGAACTCCCTGTGTGAAGATTAAGCGCACATGCATGCACACCTAGCACGCTGCTGCCACGGCATCAAGCGGCAGCAAACGGCACGCCCGTGTATGCCTTCACGCGGAGAGTTCGTGCTGAAAATGTTTTCAACGGAAGCGTAGAACTTGCGGTTTATTTTTGGTAAACATGCCACCCGTGGACATGTTTGCCTTTTCTAAACCCAGCGCAGGCACAATTCTGGACACAAGGAATATGTAAGCGAAATTTCAGCTTCCTCCGTCAGGTGAAAATATGAAAAAAATGTGTTATAATTTTTTTCGCTATGGTGGTAGAATTTATACCCAGGACGTCAGTCGTAATGCAATGAAGACGGCGTCCAACCTGGGCTAACGTACTGTGCATCGTATGCGCACCAATGTGGCCAGAAAGCCCCATCTACTGTTTGTGTATGGTGGTCCTTCTAGCCCCCGTCATTTAGCCTCTGAAGAAGAATGTATCAAAGTCCCAATGTAAGGCCACATAAAAATTGTTTTAGATTTGTATATTTCAGGTCAATCCAGTCAGTAAGCAGTTTGCAGCAGTCCTATTCATTTTCATGAGTTCATAGTTTAATGAGACTTTCCCCCCCCCCCAAGCCCCATCGTTGGCAGAGAGGCAGTGACACCACTGTAACCATAGCACGCGTTGTCAAGGATACGAGAAACAAACCACAGCTAGACGAACCAGAAGTCACGCCGACACTGGCTACATGTGAGTTGATGTAAGACCTTACTAATGTGTATTCCGTCGACGTCTGGTGAAACTAATTGTTGCGGACATGTTTTTCCAACCTAACCCTTATATGAAAGTGCTGAAATGTGGCATATATATGGGTCAACCGTCGCCTTAAAATGATTGGACGCATGAGAAGTTTTGGATTTGCGTTGCAGTTTCATTTTTTCGCGGTCACCGTGCAATACTGGACAGGGTAACATGCATCGTTGATGAAATACGCACAAGATGACACACAGGAACTGAAAACGTAGAAATTAAGAACAAATTTTAGGTATGAAAGATTTTCTTATGTATCTCAAGTTTTTTTTTTGGGGGGGGGGGAACTATTGACATTGTGGGAAAATAAAGATTGCGGGGTGTTAAGTCACAGGGCATAGGCATGTGTCAAGTTTCAGTAATTTCACACAAGTTTTGAGCAATTTCTCTGCAGACTTTTCCCAGCTTTTAGATTTTTATTTCCTGGACACCCTTGTAGCACAGACAGAGTCCATATGTGGGCTGGACTCATGACTAGATGGAAGACTAGTGCCCGTTAAGTTTTGAGGTTCATATCAAGACCATTTTCACCTGTTGAAATCGATTCCGGATTCTTTCCCGTGTTTTCCTAGTGATTGGTTTAGATGGGGACCACATGGCTGGCTATCACTTTGGTGGTTTAAGACCACACAGCTCCACGGAACATGTCAAGAACCCCAATGCTGTCGTCATACATATGCACCAGGTAAGATTTGAAAAATGTCTGAATTCTCAAAGCGTTTCGTCCCATCTGAGACAACGATGTACAATCCGAATCCAAGAATAGCATGAGACAATAATAAAGCAGAGGTATGAGACAAAATCTGACACTTTTATTCAAGGACCAATGTGATCCGTAAATGCTAAAGGGGCTGCAGTGCCAAACTGTATTAACCTTAAAAGGGCCGGGGGGGGGGGGGGTGGATTCCGCCCCCCCCCTCAACTTTTTCCGCAATACTTTTTTCGCGCCCCGAGCTGCTATGACTTTTTAGCCTCGAGGCTTTCACATCCTTTGATACCAAAAACAAAAGAATCGGACCACGGGTTGCCGCGTAGCGAACAGTTTCCGGCGCAACGCGCCGTGAAAACTGAATTTTCCCATATACGTTGTGTACACAGACCAGAATTACCATTCGTACATATGAATAATTAATTAGCCATAATTCCAAAACCCTTTGACCTATAGTCCTGAAATTTCTTGGGTATGTTCATGATGAGTTGCTGTATGCATGTACCGAGTTTCAAAATTTTTCGTCACTCGATGGCCCCCCCCCCCCCCCCCCCCCCCCGCTGAGAGATTAAAAATATCCGGCCCTTTTAGGGTTAATATGACTATGGCAATAGGAACCATTAGAAATGGTACACGGTACGGGATATGTATGCGGCTTAGAATGTAACGACTGAGAATATTTCTATTCCTCCTGGACGGGATGCTAGTCCATCGCAGGTTGCTCCCCAGCTAATGCCGGTACCCATTTATACTCCTGAGTGGAGAGAGGCAAGTGGGGGTGAAGTGGCTTGCCCAAGGACACAACATATGACCAGCAGCTGGATTCGAACCCGTTAAATTGACTTGTGCAAAATTTGCACATAAAAGGTTGTGCCTCTGTAATATGTACTTAGTAGGCAAACAATTTATTTTTAAGATTTGTTTTGGACTAAAATGTGTTTAATTCATCATCTTTCATTGCTCTCCTAAATTTCTTCAGGGTGTTGAAGTACTAGATCTGGCCACAGGAAGACCGATAACCAGACTAAAACTGACATCCAGCGGTCCGGTGACGTATGCAGATGTTAATGGCAACGGCATTGTGGATCAGATTCAAGGTACATAAGGATGGGAATCAACGTTTCATTTGGTAAATGTTTAGCAAAAGTTTCACAGTCCTTTGCCTGTTCCAGTATGGGAGAAGCAATGAGTGACAAAGGGTGGCATGGGCGGCTTGTGCGTAAAGCGCTCGCTCCTCACCAAGGTGACCACGGTTCGAATCCTGGCCGCAGATCGCATGTGAGTAGAGCTGTGCGTTGGTTCTCTCCTGTGCCACGAGGGTTTTTCTCCGGGCCCTCCAGTTTTCCTCCCTCCGGAAAAATCAAACACTTTCGAACTCAGGCTGTGCTCCGTGGTCATATATGGGGCGATGTGGCCGGCAGCCATAGGCGCCTTTACGTGCCAGCGGCCCGACCGCGTTGTAGGCACGTCCTTCACAATTCAGCATCCCAGCTGTGAGTAAGGATGATTAGCCTCCCAAATTATTATTACAAAGTGCCTTGCCCAAGGGCACACGCATCATAACCCCAGGCTGGACTCGAACTCACAACCTGTAGAATTGCCCGCAGACCACAAATTCAATGCTCCAGACCACTTGGTATCACTTGATTGCTCCTCAGTTACAATATATTTTGAAAATTTTCTATTTTTTTTCCCAGCTCATTTTACGGCAGATGACAACCACAAAGACAACTGCATGGCCATTGTCAGATCTGGCATCCCGCCCCAAGCACTGCTATTCAATGGATCCATATGTGCAGGAAACTCACTCATGGATTCATGGTCAGGTACCATAGACTGAACTTTAATTGTAGTTGGTAATTATGAACATAACAAAAAATATTGACTGAAATAAATATTTATTTTTCGAAAAACTTCTTGGTCGTTAAATATTTAAATGGCTGATCTTAAACGTTCTTGCCTCACTACAAATTCCAACAGAACAATTTGGGCGATTCACAATGCAGTGCGCCACCAAGAGTTTGTCTTGGAGAGTTCATTTTTCCCAGTGCATTGTGGGAGATAGTCGACAAATTCGCAGCGCGGGACATTTAAAAATGTTAGTTTTTCCGGTCAGTATGGTTTCGTAAGCGTATGATTCGAGGATCTGTTTGCCCTTTTCTTTTCTTTGTATCAATATGGTGTTTTTTGTAAGGTGGCAGAACGCTATGCCCCGCCCAATCTATGGCATATTAGCTCAAGTTGGTGACACTCATTCAAATGGGCCATGTTTTGTCGACCGTAGAGCTGGGAAATGGACTTTCCATGTCAAACTCTTGGTGGCGCTCTGCATTGTGAATCGCCCGAATTCATCATTAAAATTGGCTGGTTTGTAATCTTGAGCAGACACACCTATATGTTTTGTCATCAGTGCTAGTGTTTGGAAGCAAGGCACAGATCCAAGAGAATTTGAAGCTGGCTGTAGCCCCAGTCACTGTCCCAAGGTATGTTCAATAAACTACACAAGTTCTGTCGGGTGGGACTCGAACCCGAGACCTCCTGCATAGTAGTGCAGATGTCTTCATTGCTCGGCCACTGAACTTGCTGGGGTTGGCTGGCTGGCTCGAATCTGATCTAACAGTGAAAACTGCAAGCAATGTCTTGTATTATAGAATACAAATGAATAGGACTGCTGCAAACATACTGACTGGATTGACCTGATATATACAAATCAAAAAAGTTAAGGCGGCCTGACGTTGGGAACTGAACAAGTTCTTCTTCAGAGACAAAAATAAAAATAAAATAAAATGGACAGTACTAAATTTGAAGTGCTTATGAAATAACGTCGGTGAAGGGTAAAACCCAATTTTAAATTTATATCTCCATGACAGAAAATGTTATCACACTGGATGTGCCCAGATCTTGCTGGTATGACCAGAGGGCGGGGGGGGGGGGGGGGGTTCTGTTGGTTAATATGCCACAGTAAGTATTGTCCGATAGTGTCCAAGATCATATGCTTTGGAGTGCACCCCTAAAGTAGGATGGGGTCCAACCCCCCCCTCCCCCTTTTTTTTGTTTTGATTGACCTGAAAAAGTTGTAGCTAACTTCCAGCACAGAAGAATGTTTGGTTGTTAGCTCCAACCCTCCCCCCAAAAAATATTGTAACAAATGATGGAAGTCTTATTGACTGTAAATATAAATTAATAATGACTGAATGGAGGATACTCGATTTGATTACAGTATTGCTAAGCAGTCTGGTGTTATCAACCACTTGTTGGGCGGTAGTATGTTCAGGCAGACTCACGGAGGTTGGGACAGTGTCTTCTTAATCAGTAATGGTAGAGTCACCAGCTATGGACCTAAGGGACACTTCAACTGGAAGGTATGAGCAGCCTACAGTCATGTCGGCGATTTGTAACTAGGATTACCAGCCTTGTATTTGAGTCACCAAACATCGAGTCCGAGTCACCTCTCCCGAGTCCGAGTCCCGAGTCATGCAGCTCGAGTCATGAGTCCGAGTCCCAAAGGTCAAGTCCGAGTCACGAGTCACCTTTAAAGATATAGTCCATCATTTGTAATTTGTGCATTTTGTTCGTTTGTAGCAACAAAAGTGCTCAAAATCTGAAATAAAACCTTCAACTAACCTGATGAAGTTTCAGCTCAGTTTCAGCTGTGTATTCTGAGAAAAACAGCATTCTAGGATCTCAATTTCAAATCAAAAGTTGCTGAATCATGTTTTGAATTGGGCCTGAATTCAGCGTCCAAGATATGTTCTCACTGAGCCGATTGCAGCTATGCGATGTCGCACACTGATCCCAATTATAGCAACCACGCGTGTGTGTGCATTGTGCCATGCTTGCATGCGCTTCACCGAATAACAAAACAAACTTCTAATTTAAATTTCCTACGGTGCGTCTTAAGAAGCACCGTTGGAAAGGCCTTCTTTCGTTGATTACTTCAAAATGACAGCTTGCCAGAAAGAATAATTTCACAGGGAGTTTAGTCCCCTTACTATCTTTCAACCAAGTATGTTTTTCAACAATAATTACGCCAGTTACTTTTTGGATAGCTGCAAATGATGGACTTTAGCTTTAAGTACTATAATATTGGAAGTAAATTTTGAGGTACTGCTAAAACCTCACAGTGTAAATGTTTTCCATTTTTTCTCTAATTTAATGAACATGCATGTTGTCGTGTCAGTGCAACAAGGTCGTATCTCCTAAAATGGCGTGTGACGTCATGTATATGAAACGCGAGTTTTAAATGTCAAAAGGTCGTATCTGGCTTAAAATAACCCGGATGTACACACAAAGTCAATGGACGTCATGATACGCGAGATACAACCTTGTTGCATGGAGCGTGTTTGTGCGAGATACGACTTTGTTGCAGAATTGAGTTACGATCTTGTTGCACTGACGCAACAATGTGTAACATGTCAAATAAACAAACCATGGATAAGGCCACACAAAAAAAGTCTCCGGTTTCTGGTATGGAGCTTGCCCAAAAAGTGGTGCGGCGACGCGGCTTTTTTTTTTTTTTTACCTGACTTTTTTGCTTCAAATGTCGGCTGATGACTGCAAATGGTGCCCGACTAAACTTAGTGCAAATATATGGGAGTCCAGAGAGGCCACATAAAGCTTATTCTCGATCATAACCCCATCTAAAAACACATTAAAATTGTGCAGCAGCAGGATTCCAGTCAAACCAGTGAGTTTGGCGGTTTTGAGACATCATCTTTTATTGAAAAAAAAACTGTTTCATTTTGCCAACGCGCATGGCTACGGCGACGCGCGCGCATACCAGAAACCGGAGACTTTTTTTTGTTGGCCTAAGCCATTGAAGTGGAATTAATTTGTAATTATACAAACTTTATACAACTCTGATGATTACTTACAAAATGGTGCTTCAAGGCACATTGGTAATTTCCTCGAAATGAATGTACCAATTTAAATGTAACTTTCAGCTCAGTGGATAATACGGAATAATTTCATAATCTCACGTAAGCTTTTTGATAATATTTCAGTAGGTAACTTTTGGGATCAATGCAAATGATCCCATATGCCTTTAAAAATTTGAGCAATTTTACTTCAGGCGCCAAAAATGCAAAAAAAAGTAAATGACCCTTTGTACTTTTAAACACAAGCACCCTTTATACATGCCCTGCCCCAGCTTTAAAAGAAAATCCAAACATTTCAGTAACTGAAATTGAATTAGATAATTACACTCCATAAAAAAAAATGAATGTATTCCGTCGTTGTGAGCAGTGACCACAGTGCGTGTCATTGCCAAACAGCTGTCAGAATTTGTGCATCAGTTAATACCGTTTGGCAAACAGCAAACTGAGAAACCAATGTTTGATTGAATTTTGTTTCAATTTCTGTGGGGTAAATCCGGCCCTTTGTTTTTTGGACGCCAGATGTGTTGTGTTGCTTTTCAGTATCTGCTATATTTTGTAATAATTTGAACAGGGCATGAAGCAAATGGTGCGTATAATTATTGATTGCACGCTGTGGAATAAATACTGTTCAAACAGATCTTATTGACCATAAGTTTTCATCACAGCTGGTTTGAGTAAAGCTCAAACTAACTCTATCCAATGTGATGCTCCAAAAAGATTCTGTTTGTGATATGATATATCTTGATATACTAGCAAATTTATCATATTTCTAGCCTTGAATTCAAGTATGTTATATTTATCAATTGTTGACTGCTATGATGTGAGACATGCAGTTTTTAACACCTGAGGGGCGCATAGCACCCGAGGCGAAGCTGAGATGCATGCAACTTTTATTGGATCTGCCGATTTCCTCGTTTTTTTACTTCTCATGAATGCCATTACAAATTGAAAATACTGTACAAAGTTTAGTGTGGTTTGGAGTTTCCTAATTTGTTCTAAATTCCCAGTTTCATCCCTGAAGATAGAGTGACGTACCTATGGAAATCATATATCATTCTAAAGCTCAGGACCTCAGAAATTTAAAAATACCTTTAAAAAAAGGTCAACTTTGTCTGGCATTTTGTGGTAGCAGTTCTTCATTTATGAATTTCCAAAAGAGTAGGACAGCATAATTGTTTGTTGTGCAAAATGGTGCAATTGCGCCCCTTGCTTATTGTGTTCTACCCTGTTTGATTCTTGCCCTTGTGCAGGTTGACACCAAAGCTAAATGGAATGACATCCTGACGGTGTTTAAAAGTAAACATTACTTTCCTCAAGAGACTATCGATAGATATCATCATTCCTTTCAGCCCAGCATGCAGGCGGTGGCTTTGAAAGTCTTTGGCAAAATGGTAAGCCACGGGACGATTCCACTGCTTGACTGTACAGCTTATGGCTATAGACTCCGTGCACAAGTCCCCCCTCAACGGTTACAAAGGGAGAGTTGGGAAAGACCACTGGGTCTAGGTGATACTTAGGCGAAGACGCTACGAGTTAGAGCACATTCAGAAAACAATAAGTCATGCGTAGTCAATGCCAGACATGCATGAAGTCTGCACTGTGTGCTTTTGCAACAATATGTTCATTTCTTCTTTTGGAAGAAATGCACTACCATGTTAGTCCTGAAAAGGACTGTTTGGTCAGCATCTTAGATGTTTACTGTTCTGCTCCGCCCTCTACTTGGTAGCCTCTTTCACGGATGCAAGTTTCGGCCCGTGTTCTTACTGCAGCAGTCAAAATATCAGTCGCTGTTGACAAAATGAAAAGCAGCACTTGTTTTCAATTGGCCATAACTCAATAAATATTTATCCGATTGGGAATGTTTTTTCTTTGTTGAAAAGCTAACGAACTATACTCTCCAAATATTTATCAATATTTCCGATTTTTTTCTTCAAAAGCTGTGAAAAAGAGGGCACTTTGAGGGTTCCTTTTTTTGGGGGGGGGGGGCCTCTTGTATGTCATACGAATGTCTCTTTCGGTGGGCTCCCTTAGTCTGGTTCCCAGACCAAATCATCTATTTTTGATGAATCTAAGATTCGTCAGAAATAAAAGTCGGAATCTTTTGGTCGGGGAAACAGACTATAGTCTCCCCCAACACTGCCTTTCTTGCCCGTGAGGGGGTACTTGTGAACGGAGCCCATAGGGTATAGATTGTACGGTTTTGCACGACGGATAAAACTGTGTCCACTTCTTGTTATCACCCAGGATGCAGCAGTGCTAGTTGGTTGGGATTACCTAGTTATTGTCTCGCTTGAAGATGGTCACGTGATCGCCGACCATTCCCTACCCTGCCAACCCACAGCACCCACGGTCGTTGGAGACTTCAATTCAGATGGGTACAATGACGTCATTGTACAGTGTTCCACGGGGTGAGTAGTATAGTTTGTCATGAGCCAATGTGACTCCGTCAGATCGGCGTTTATATCTGGTCTCCTTGCCAGGACTGAGAATATTGTTACTTTCGCAGAATGGGATGCCAGCCCACCAAACAGGGTGGTCCAAAAAAAAAGTTTACACTTTTTCAGAGGCAGATTTCTCAAAATTGAAGAGACATGTTGAAATTGTTTTAAGATATCCCTAAACTACAAGATCTTGGTTGTATAATTTCTTTAAAGAATTGCTGTTTTTTAATTTTGGTTTTATTTCAGCGCCTTTTTTTACCATTAAGATGCTGTAGTTTGGGAATATAATGAGCCCTGTTCTCTGTGCTACTTCACAGGCATTTTAAGGCATACAGGATCATGCATTTTGTGTATTTTGTTCGTTTCCAATAACACCACCATTCAAAATCCAAAGCCTAGATTGTTAAAAAAAGTCTAATATCCACTGATATGAAAGTTGAACAGGAAAGATTTTGAAATATCCACTGATATGAAAGTTGAACAGGAAAGGTTTTGAAATATCCACTGATATGAAAGTTGAACAGGAAAGGTTTTGAAATATCCACTGATATGCAAGTTGAACAGGAAAGGTTTTGAAATATCCACTGATATGAAAGTTGAACAGGAAAGGTTTTGAAATATCCACTGATATAAAAGTTGAACAGGAAAGGTTTTGAACAATCTAGGCTTTCGATTTTGAATGGTGGTGTTATTGGAAACGAACAAAATACACAAAATGCATGATCCTGAATGCCTTAAAATGCCTGTAAAGTAGCACAGAGAACAGGGATCATTATGTTTCTTTTGTCAGATTAAATGTTCTTTTCTTTTTCATTCTGTAGGCTGTTGGGTTTCAGACTTGAGTTTTACACTGCGTATTGGTCCACAGCACTGATTGGTCTGTGCTTGGTGGCCGTCGTCCTGGGTCTGACGGCGCTGTGCTCGTCCAATTACGACTTCTTTGAGGACGGAACTGAGCATGCCCAGTACGTTGATGACAACCACCAAGCCAGGTGACTGACAATAGAGGGCCCTGTGACAGTTGCCTGGTACCTTGTGTATCGTCGCCTCGGCAGACTATGTTCTTTCTTCTGTGTGACGATGGTAGCGCTCGCTGCGTATGTCGCTGTAGTTGTGTACTACCTTGTAGTGATGTACGAACGGACAGTGCTGAATAAAGTTGAGAAGGGTCTTGACTGAAAAAGGCTGTCATAGCTTGACCAAAACCAGGACTGGTTGGTAGTTTGACCAGCCTGAGGACTAATAAAGCCTGAAAATTGACCGCTGGTGGCGCGCTTCCAGACCCCTCGAATAGAAAAATCAGTGTGTAAAAGTCAGAGTTTTAAAAATATTTTTGGTACATTGATTTCTTAAGAAAATCACCCTCGGAAAAGGCATTTCTGAAATGGCCACTAGCATCTCAATTTATGGAAATTGAAAAATCGCGTGACGTGAAAGAGAAATATCATGCCAAAAACTGACCTCTCACAGCTTAAAATCCTAAATACATGTGGAGCTCGGAGCACTTGTACAAAGATGATAATTTGTGAAATAATTTTGTGACGGTCATTGGGTAAAAACTGAAACTTAATTTTTTGAATCAACTTGGACTAATTCTCATTTACAAAAAAATCTAAAGTGACCGTTGACAAGAAGTGTATTCAAGCAAGCCCGACTTAATCTAGAATCCATTAGAGTAGGTAGGTAAATCTTCGCGTCGTTATCATTTTTGTTCTCATGCAAGTACGCGATGTGAAAACAAACGTGATTGAACAAGGAGACCTAGGTACGAAAATCCGGATTTGAAAGGTCGTAAGTAAAAAAAAAAAATGAATTTCAGTGCTGTGTTATGTAAGCTGTGCAAAATCCTGCATGTTGTGAAAAGGGCTACGGTTGGGATTGGAATCATTTGCTTGGCTTTCAGTCATCAGGGCAAGACCTCAGTTTAATGCTCAAGGGCAAATGATTCCAATTCCAAACCACATCAGCCTTTTTTCCACAACATGCAGGACATAACACAAAACTGAAATTCATTAAGGCAAGGAACTTGGTCTCAGCTTCCAAAACTGATGTTGTGATCAATTGACCATTGTGCAGTGAAGCGTGACTGAAACTCACAGCAGTTGAGGCCAAGGATAATGAGTATTAGCACAATCGAACATTTTCAAAATTGACTTCATGGTTTTGTAGTTATTTCACAAATAGTAGTCAGACGGACACTTATTTTTTGGACAAACTGTATAATTTTCTTTGGATGTGGGCAGCAACATGACCATTTGTTTTGTTCACTTGTTGTACTTTACGTTTGGTTGAGGTCAAATAAAAAATAAACATAACAAAAGTGCTAACACTTCCTTTGAGGTCATTTCCATGTTTTTTTTCTCTAGTTTTTTTAATTGCCGATGCCTGAAGGAACGGTGAATTATTTTTAGTTGTATCTGAAATGCTTCGAATTGGGAAGGTTGGGCCATAACAACAGATGGTAATTGTTTTTGACAATTATTCACAAAAAAAGTGCATGGATTTTTTTCAGGGACTGTTCAGCTGTGTTCATTGTTTACATCACTGAGACTCGGACAGATGCAGCAGTATTTATTCCACCATTTGTCAACAAAGCTGTTGCATAAATAAGCGCTTCAGCCAGGTGCTGCAAATGATATGCATGTGTACTTTGATGAAAAAAAAATGAAACATCAATATGATAATAGTTAGGACTAGCCAAAGAAATGGACAGTGTGCAGTGTTCGCAAAGGCTTACCGGTACTTTCTTTACTGCTAATTCTTACTTCTATTGCATACTTGCTGCAAACAATAAAAACATATCCCTTAGGCCAACAAAAATATCTCTGGTTTCTAGTATGGAGCTTGCCCCAAAAGTGGTGCGGTGACGCGGCTTTTTTTTTTTTTTTTTTTTTTTTAAATTCAAATGTCGGCTGATGACTGCAAATGCTGCCCAACTAAACTTAGTGCAAAATCTATGGGAGTCCAGAGAGGCCACATAAAGTTTATACTCCATTGTGACTTCATCTAAAAACACGCTACAATTGTGCAGCAGCAGGATTCCAGTCAAACCAGTGAGTTTGGCAGTTTTTACACATCTTACATTACAAAAAAACTTTTTCATTTTGCGGACGCGCATGGCTACGGCGAAGCGCACGCATACCAGAAACCGGAGACTTTTTTTTTTTTTTGGCCTTAGTTGACACTTTACATACGATGTCTACTGAATTGTGATTGCCCTATCTACATGTACACCTCAGAATATCTCACATTATGTTCACTGTTGGCTTTAAGTGTGTATAGCGCCCTCTATTGCCTAGCAGTGTGTAGAATTCACCTCTTTGCAAGAGCCTATTGACAGCGTTGTACATGTGACTAGGGTTAAAGCTCTACAGGGCACCTGGGGGTGTACCATTTCAAGATTCAGTTCAAGATTTCAAATGGGGTGGGGCACGTGGGGGGGGGGGGGGGGAACACGTGCCCCTGTTTCGTGCTGATTGATGCTCCTCTCACCTATAACAGTATTTCTGCATAGTTTGAAGAAATGTCATTTTTTGGCCAAATTTCATAAAAAAAGTTAAGGCTAACCCCTTCCAATTCCAATTCGATTTCCGGACAAATCAGCTTTTAAAAAGGATATTTTGAAAAAAAAGTTTGCGGTATAAACAGTCCAAAATATTATTATTTTTTCACCAAAAATTAATTATTTTGGCCAAAATGAACAAAATATTGGGTGTTTGAATGCTGATTGATGCTCCTCTCACCTTTAACAATATTTCTGCGTAGTTTGAAGGAAAGTCATTTTTTGGGCCAAATTTCGTAAAATCAGTAAGGCTAACCCCTTGTGTTTTTTTCAATTTTGGCCAAAAAATGAAATTGCTTGAAATTTGCTGGAAAGATGCCTACAGGACTCTAGAACACATTCCAATTGGATTTCTGGACAAATCAGCTTTTAAAAAGCATATTTTGACAAAAGTTTGCGGTATAAACAGTCCAAAATATTATTATTTTTTCACCAAAAATTAATTATTTTGGCCAAAATGAACAAAATATTGGGTGTTTGAATGCTGATTGATGCTCCTCTCACCTTTAATAGTATTACTGCATAGTTTGAAAAAAAGTTATTTTTTGGCCAAATTTCATAAAAAAAGTAAGGCTAACCCCTTGTTTTTTTTTTCAATATTGGCCAAAAAATGAAATTGCTTGAAATTTGCTGGAAAGATGCCTTAAGGACTCTAGAACACATTCTAATTCGATTTCTGGACAGATCAGCTTTTAAAAAGCATATTTTGACAAAAGTTTGCGGTATAAACAGTCTAAAATATTATTATTTTTTCACCAAAAATTAATTATTTTGGCCAAAATGAACAAAATATTGGGTGTTTGAATGCTGATTGATGCTCCTCTCACCTTTAATAGTATTACTGCATAGTTTGAAAAAAAATCATTTTTTGGCCAAATTTCATAAAAAAAGTAAGGCTAACCCCTTGTTTTTTTTTTCAATATTGGCCAAAAAATGAAATTGCTGGAAATTTGCTGGAAAGATGCCTTAAGGACTCTAGAACACATTCTTATTCGATTTCTGGACAGATCAGCTTTTAAAAAGCATATTTTGACAAAAGCTTGCGGTATAAACAGTCCAAAATATTATTATTTTTTCACCAAAAATTAATTATTTTGGCCAAAATGAACAAAATATTGGGTGTTTGAATGCTGATTGATGCTCCTCTCACCTTTAACAGTATTTCTGCGTAGTTTGAAGGAAAGTCATTTTTTGGCCAAATTTCGTAAAAAAAGTAAGGCTAACCCCTTGTGTTTTTTTCAATTTTGGCCAAAAAATGAAATTGCTTGAAATTTGCTGGAAAGATGCCTACAGGACTCTAGAACACATACCAATTCGATTTCTGGACAGATCAGCTTTTAAAAAGCATATTTTGACAAAAGTTTGCGGTATAAACAGTCCAAAATATTATTATTTTTTCACAAAAAATTAATTATTTTGGCCAAAATGAACAAAATATTGGGTGTTTGAATGCTGATTGATGCTCCTCTCACCTTTAATAGTATTACTGCATAGTTTGAAAAAAAGTCATTTTTTGGCCAAATTTTTTTCAATATTGGCCAAAAAAATGAAATTGCTGGAAATTTGCTGGAAAAATGCCTAAAGGACTCTAGAACACATTCTAATTCGATTTCTGGACAGATTAGCTTTTAAAAAGCATATTTTGACAAAAGCTTGCGGTATAAACAGTCCAAAATATTATTATTTTTTCACCAAAAATTAATTATTTTGGCCAAAATGAACAAAATATTGGGTGTTTGAATGCTGATTGATGCTCCTCTCACCTTTAACAGTATTTCTGCATAGTTTGAAGAAAAGTCATTTTTTGGCCAAATTTCATAAAAAAGTAAGGCTAACCCCTTGTGTTTTTTCCAATTTTGGCCAAAAAATGAAATTGCGGGAAATTTGCTGGAAAGATGCCTAAAGGACTCTAGAACACATTCAAATTCGATTTCTGGACAGATCAGCTTTTAAAAAGCATATTTTGACAAAAGTTTGCGATATAAACATTCTAAAATATTTTTTTTTTCACCAAAAATTAATTATTTTGGCCAAAATGAACAAAATATTGGGTGTTTGAATGCTGATTGATGCTCCTCTCACCTTTAACAGTATTTCTGCGTAGTTTGAGGGGGTAATTTTTTGGCCAAATTTCATAAAAAAAGTAAGGCTATTAAACCCCTTGTGTTTTTTTTTCAATTTTTGGCCAAAAAATGAAATTTTGGACAAAAAATGAAAGTGCTTGAAATTTGCTTGAAAGATGCCTAAAGGACCCTAGAACACATTCCAATTCGATTTCTGGACTATCAGCTTTTAAAAAGCATATTTTGACAAAAGTTTGCGGTATAAACAGTCCAAAATATTATTATTTTTTCACGAAAAATTATTTTTTTGGGCCAAAATGAACAAAATATTGGGTGTTTGAATGCTGATTGATGCTCCTCTCACCTTTAACAGTATTTCTGCATAGTTTGAAGGAAAGTCATTTTTTAGGCCAAATTTCGTAAAAAAAGTAAGGCTAACCCCTTGTGTTTTTTTCAATTTTGGCCAAAAAATGAAATTGCTTGAAATTTGCTGGAAAGATGCCTACAGGACTCTAGAACACATTCCAATTCGATTTCTGGACAGATCAGCTTTTAAAAAGCATATTTTGACAAAAGTTTGCGGTATAAACAGTCCAAAATATTATTATTTTTTCACCAAAAATTAATTATTTTGGCCAAAATGAACAAAATATTGGGTGTTTGAATGCTGATTGATGCTCCTCTCACCTTTAATAGTATTACTGCATAGTTTGAAAAAAAATCATTTTTTGGCCAAATTTCATAAAAAAAGTAAGGCTAACCCCTTGTTTTTTTTTTTCAATATTGGCCCAAAAATGAAATTGCTTGAAATTTGCTGGAAAGATGCCTTAAGGACTCTAGAACACATTCTAATT